CGTTAATCTGCGAACTTGTTTCAGGCGTTAACTTCCATCTAGGATTAATGACAGAAATTAGCGCCATGTTCGCCAATTTCTTAAGAAATAAAATGTTTAAAACTAAATGGAGAATGTATTGTTGCAGAGAACTTAAAGGATTATTTTATGGGGAAAGGAAAGATCTTTTGATATAACGACAAGTATTTAAAGGTGTATTTTAAAGGTGTAATTTAAGGAAAATAACCATAAACGTAGTAACAATTCTTTTGAAAAATAAATCTAAAAGAATGTCTTGAACTCTGCCTACAACATGAACTAACCCTCTACTGACATTCTGCATTTTTCCCCAACCGATTGCCAGCGAGCAATTAACTTTGAAAAATGCCTGGAAATCAAGTGGCAGGAGAAGCGTTGGTGGGCAGGTGGGGCGGTGAGTGCATCTCAAGTGGCTGACTGGATGGGTGGATGGCTGGCGGCTTCAAGTGGCGAATAAGCTCTCCTAAACGGGACGAGACAAAGGAATCCGGGCACGGAGCACTGAAGCATGCTTGCTGGTCCTCCTCCAAGTAATCCAAGTAACTTTTAGCCCATTCGCTCGCGAGAAGAGGAAGAAGAAGGTCGTTGTTTATTGATTGCGAAGTAAAAGCAGCCATAAAAGACGGCAAAAGCTGCAAAGCGACCAGGGAACAAAACAGAGACGGAAAGAGAGCAGTCGAGAATTGGCACAGGCCCTTGAAAAAATCTGGTTTTCCTTTTCTTTTTGTTCCTAAGCCCACGCAAATGAGACGACGGCGACGACCGACAAACGACGACGAAGAGGCCAACAAAGACGATGATGATAATTATGATTATGGCCAAGATGAGCAGAGCAAGTGCAAGTGAAGGAATTAGCAGGCAGGCACGATTTTCGCGGACTCGGCAGACACTGCAATCTCAAGTTCTGATCTGCAAGCTGATCGAGCAAAATATTGAGATATACATACTTTAAACTAGCTTTTTAAAATTATAGCTATCTGATTTTGTATTCATCCATACCAATTTTTACAAAGAATTCGCCTTTATTAAACAGCTATATTTTAAGCCTATTAAGATCATTTTCAAATTTTCTATTAATACTTTATACCGATCTTATACATCATACCACATACAATCCTGATCAGCATCAAAAGCCGAGTCTTATTAGTCATGTCAGCTGGAAAAAAGTTATTTCTTCAAAATGGGTACATCATTAAAATGGTCGAAAATTAAAACAAATTTTATTTGTTATTTTAGATTCAATATGCTTATTTATTTACCTAATAAAAAGCAATACAAAAAAGCTTTCCCAATTGAAATTAAGACATTTTTACTTAGTTATGATCGATTTTAAATTTTGGTTTCCTGATCCAATTTAAAACTGAAAGGATATACAAACTTCAGCTTAACAACGTAAGCTTCCATTCTTGTTTGTAGAGAATTCAACTTTAGACAGATGTCTGTAAAGTTTTAATTCGTTATTTTTTGATAACTTTTTTTAAACCCCTCTTATAAAAGTTTAATTTTGAATGGATCTGAACATCTGCTTATCTTTCCCCTTGGTTCCTTGATACTCCGGTAGCTCGGGGAATATTATCACCCATCTCCTGGTCTTTCCCTTTTTGCATTTACGGCCTGCCAAATGGCATCTGCTGGCCAACCGATTGAGGGCAGAGATTCGGAAATAAAAGAAGGGGCAGTGCGCCGAGAGAAAAGCAGAACGATGTCAGGCATCGAAAATCCGGACCGAACTGCGGACAGGGGACTGCGGACTGTGACTCATTGAACCACAAGATGAATACAAAGATGCCAAATCAACTCGAACGAGTTTCTGCGGCCTGCAGTTTCCAGTGCCCGTGCTTGTGCTTGTGCCGATGCCGATGCCTTTCCCGCACTTTGTTTTCAGGTCAATTGCATCCCAGTTTGTTGGCAGCACTTGAAGCCAAAGCGACATTTGAGTTTTGCACTCGGCCTAAACGTGCAACCGTTGCAACGGTGGAAAAGTCAGTCTCTGCCGGGGCCAAGTGCGTGCAGCGTTTGTCAAATTGCCAGTTGAGAGCGCTCCATTTGGAGTCTCCTCCCCCTTTCTGGTGCCGATTTGGCCGCAATCTCGGGGCACAGCCCATCCCACCATCGCATTGCCCCAACGGCAGTTGACAAAAGCCATCAGCCAACCAGGCTAACAACCGCAACATTTGTAATGGAAATTCCTGCATTGAAATCTTGTTTCGTTTCGTTTAGCTGCCGTTTCGGTATTGTTTTGGCTTCTACCCTCCCCAAAGGTACAATGTTTTTCCATGTTATAAAAAACTTTTAAAATCGTGTATTCATTTTTAATCAGCATTAACAGTACCGATGGCAGAGAAAAACGCAACGTATGGGAACAAGTTTCAGAGCGAAAAACAGGTTTGTTGAGTTGGATTATATAATAACATGTCAGTGCAATGTAGCTTTAATAATGATACAATTTAATAACAAGTCTAAAATGTTTTCTCATAGGATAGTTCTCTAAATGAACACGTATGTATTTACATTTTCAAATATAGTAGTTCTTTATAATAAATCCCATTGAAACTTTTCGACTTTTATTTTAAAAACCTAAACTATATATTAAGAATCCTTAAATAAGAATTCCCCTGTCTCAGTGTCTCAAATCACAAAGCTAGGCTTCCTTTTTAAGATAAATCCTACCATTTCGTACACCTGTAAGGGTATTTTAAAGCTGATGAACACCTTCTAGTCCTTTCTTCTTCCTCTTTTTTGTTGGTTTAATTTTTTGTGGTTTGTTTTTGTTTGTTGTTTTTTTTTTCGTTTTTGCTAGCTGTTGACTGCAAGTGGCTGTGCTTTTGTTGCTGTGGATGGGGCTTTTGTTGGAACCCGTAACTGTTGCGGTTCCGTCAACGTCATCGTCATCGCCAACATCCCCGGACGCCTGCCACCCGGAAAAAGTCAATGAACCGGCCAAGTCCCTCCTTATGCCAGACGACGAAAAGTTTTTCAGCTCCATTGCCCACTTGACCACCGACAGGAGGGAGGAGCGATTTGAGCCCATTACATTTGATGATCGATCGATTGTTATGATTATTCGAGTATTTCTGGCCGCTGCAGCTATAGCTTTTCCCTGTCATCCAAATGGGATGCCCATGCAAATGAGCCGAGTGATTCGAAATTCGAAGCTTGTATGTTTTTGGATTAACATACCTAATGTTTATAAATTGCAAATTAGCGAAAAGGCCAAAGCAAACAGAACCGAATAGAGGAGTCACCAGCATGTGAACCTACTGCCCGGGGTTGAGGAATCCCGTGCTTATTGTCTCTGTTCGTGCTAACTCTGATCTTTATCCGACTAGTGCGAATAGCCCGACACGCGAAGAAATAAAAACTCACTTAATGGACATAGATTTAGTACCTGTTCTCTTTGGGTTGAGAGGCAGAAAGTAAACATAGCGAAAAACCAGCGCTGTCAGTTTCAATTCAAGTTCAAAAGAGACGAAATCTTAGTCGGTACATTGAACAAAAATATTAAGTAGAACAGAACTGGGATAATTTAGGGGATTTAAGAAATCGATGATTCAATAAAATGTAATCTTGAAGAATAATCACAAATTTAAATCACTTAAATATGCTAAGTTTTTTGGATATCTTTTGATAGATTATTATAAATTATAATCTTATTAATATAGGCAATACTTTTCGATTATTATATGGAATAAATAAAATTTTGTAAAGGATACCATTTATTTCATATTAATATTATCTAATTTATATGTTTATTTTGATATATACTGTAGTCCTGTCTATTTAAATAGTTAAAAACAGTATGACATTTTTTTAAATTTATTTAAATTTTTTAAAAATGCACTCAAATATTTTAAAATAGTAACGTAAATATAACAATTTCATGCTTATTTTGTGCCAAAAAGTGTGCCGTAACATATAACAACATATGCACGTATTTATTTAAGTTGGATTTATTTGCTTTTCCAATTACCTCAATGTTGTTCAAACATCCCAATCTGAATATTTAATTAAAAAGGTGCCAAGTGGGGTCTTCTGGTTCGGATGGACACACTCAAAACCCCTGGCTTTCTATTAGCGCTCGGCTCTGTTGTAAAAAAAACCGATGTGCAAAAATCCAGCAGGGGAAACAAAAAACGACAATACCTAAATCTATAACACACATAGTTGGATTAAAAAATGCTCGTTGGGGTTCGTTAAAAAAGGAAAAAGAGGACGCGAGAGAAAAGTGAAACAAACACCACAACAAACAACAACAAGAGAGATGCACAGCACACAATGAGAAAATCAATTTAAATTGAATTATACAACGCCAACAACAAGACGAAGAGAACTCGAATAAAGGCGAATAGCATGGCACAAACAGAAAGAAATACGAATAAAAGCATAAAAACAAAGCCAAAACGAGCTGCGATGAGCAGATGAGACCAAACGGGTTTCACACGCTCCTCGGAAAGGAGAGATGAAACGATTCTTGGATTCTCAATGAATGGGCATCATCCATACAAAACGTACAATAAAAAAATAAGGCTAAATAAAGATGAGCTGCATAAATTAAAGACGCGGCTCCCCTTCCGCCACCTGTGAGGTTTTCTTTCCCTTCTCTCTCGTCTCTCTCTCCCTCTCTTCTGCTTCTCCTTCACGTCTGCTTCTTCTGGTGGTTGCAATTTTGTAACAATTTGTCTGCTCCAAATTTTGTTGTTGCATTTTTTGGCAATCGCTCGAAATCGAGTGCAAAATCCGTCTAGACAGATAATACATATCGGCAGGTGGTGGGGGACCTAATTCGATTAGATATCTGTGTATGTACATACATATAAAAACCCCAAGAAAAAAGACTATTCTTTGTTCTGTAACTCAACTAAGCGGGGGTTGAGGAATCCGGTTTCAGACAGAGACGCTTGTAGGGGGTTGCTTCTCTATTGATTGCTACAAGTTCACTCTCTCTCAAATGATGTTAAGCTTAATGCTAATCTTAAACTCACCTTTTGCAGTCTGCGAATTTTATCAATAACTTTTTTGTCACTTTCGCCGCTCACCCACACACACGCATGGTCGCACAGGACACAGTTACAATGCCAGGTCGCGTCTTTTCCGTAATCCTTTACTTGCACACACAGCCGAACACCCACGCGCACTTACAGCTTCGGAAGCAGAACTGCACTTGTATTAACTAAATATTAGCTAGTTTCTTTATTTGCTTCAGATCAAGTGTTTTCGGTTTGAATTGTGACGAGGATTCCCACTGTTTGCGAATCAATAAAACAAACGCGATGCCCTTACACGAGCGGCAGTCTCCAGCTCATCCCGTTGTAACGCAACTACCCTTTGAAATATTATAATGAACGGCCAAAATGTTCTAACGGTAGTTAAACAAATTAATATGTTTTTATTTTTAATTTTTTATTTTTTATGGGAACCAACCGAAACCGTCTTCTTGCGCGTTTTGATTTGTTTTGATTTTTTAAAACGCGATGCTATAGGTGGGTAAACATCGATGGCAAGCACCGATATCATCGATATATTCGAAACATCGCTTCTGCGGATTGAAAGAAATGGATTAACAAATAGTATATATATTTAATACATTTTTTGGAATATTATTGTAGAACTTATCTTATTTTTAATGAAATTGGCTTTAAAATCAATGTTAAAAACAACGATATTTTTACCATAATTATTTTAATATATTTTTTTACACGTCAACTAATGTAAATACGGTGTCGAATTCTGATTCTACAGGACATGTAATTTCCTTTCGATACCCATTCGATCTATCGTAAGGAACTAGTGATGTGTAATTAAATAGTCGTCAAATTTAAAGTGCAAATTATAAAACATTTAATAAAATATTATTTGAATAAGGGTATCAAAATTGAAGGAAACCCCTCGGTGGAGCTTTAATTTCATGCGATACCTATCGCCACCTTCCACTTGCAGGGCCACCTATCGGTAACGTTCAAGCAACATTTGCTGATTGCTATTTAAATTTCGAAGTTCGTCGCCGCTTAATTCTCGTAACTATTCGCCGGATCGCCACTAGAGTCGAAATTTACGGGCCGTATCATCATGCGCGAGGTTTTCGGAGTGTCCGTTCCAGTCCCCCAATACGACCAGAGGATGGCCGGACCAGCTCTCTGGTTACCGTGCTCGCCATTTAGATTGGACCTGGTGCAGCGATCGAGCCACCATCCGCCGCCGTAGTGCTCGGCGCAGGAGGAATTTCCGGCGGATTGGCCATCGTTCCGGCGATCGTATGTGCTAAAGTCCAGGTGAATGTGCGGCTCCAGGGCGTCGGGCAGCGAACCCCGGAAGACACCGTCCACCGCTAGCTGATAGTTGTAGCCCTCGCTGTCCAGCCGGAACAGAGAGTACTCCGCCCAATCCGGGAACTCTTCCCCCTGATTATAGCCCAGCTCCACGCGCAACTCGTGATCGTCGCGATAGAGAATCTTGTGCGTGAACTCATTGCCGAACCAGAAATCCCTGGACAGATGGCCAAAGCCCGCACGGTACTCGTCCCAGCTGCGATTGAAGTTCTCCGCGGGATCGAAGACTCCTCTGTTCTGGATCACCGTCCAGGCGGGTCCGTCCGTGGCGAATGCACAGTACCGCTCATAAAAGTCTCGCTGGAGTTCATTCCTTTCCGGAACCAGAAACCTATAGACGCCATCCACTCGCTCGTCTAATTCGAAGCAATCGGATTTTTCAGGCTGGTAGAACTCTGGGCAGGATTTGCAGGTGAGCTTATGGCTAATATCTTTGTAAGTAGGACTCACCAACTTTTGAGGGTTCCTTAACTTGAGCAACATTCAAGTGAACAGTGTCATTTGGGGAAACTTCTGGAATTTGATTGCACTTATTGTGCTGCCTCGTAGAGTCCATTTGTGTTTCTAGAATTGCCTTAGTATTAGCCTCCTGTTCCAGTCGCTGCATTAATGTATTCAGTCGCTCCGATAGCTCTAGCAAAGGATCAGCTTTTGATGAGAAACTGCGAGGAGCATGGATGTCCGAATCGGCTAGAAAAACCACCTTGCTCAGGACATGGTGCAGATTGATCTCCAGGCCCCTCAGCCTTTGCGCCTGTTTGGCCAATGTCTTTCTGATTAGAACAAGTTCCTTTATGGATTCTGAGGACAACTCAGGTGTGCGAGGAGCCACAGTATCTGCTTGGACAATGAAAACTCCAAGCTGCATGCTCCAGGCCAGCAGGAAAATCAAAGAAAGCTGTTGCAATAGAAAACCACAATTTGCAGAACAAACTCAGATTCTGAAAAGCCAAGTTTTTTGGGATGGTTTCCATCTTACCATCATCTTTCCTCTCAGTTCAGTGGCCGACTGAATGAAGTCACCACAGACTGGGCTACCCACAGCACACATGTCGCTAAATGTCCGCCATCTGTTGACGATTCCCCTCCAAGAGAGCCAGGCTACTTGATCATGGGTCTGGCATGTGTAGTTTGTACGAATATAAAGTTCTGTATTTTCACGGTCCTTAGTTAATCTTCACATTTCGGTTGTATTTCTTCTTTTTTTTTGTTTAAGTATTAACGACAGAATCTTGCTTCTAGCTTTGCGGTGAAACATACATACGAAGTATATAGTAAAAAACGTAAATCAGAAAAAACATTTCTACGGACATAGCCGCACTAGGTTTTGCTTCTTTTTTTATGCTTTTAATCTCTATAATTAGCCACTAACTTTTAAGGTATAAATGATAACGCATAAGCAACTAAAGTACATTTACATACATATCGATCGTTTCTTTCACATTCCGAGCTTTTCTTCCTCAAAATTTCTCTCTTTTTCTCTCTATACAGTTGATAAAGTTTTCAAAACATAAGAATTAGGGGCCTACAGCCATCTTCGTTACATGTTAGAGTAAGGGTTAAGCTGATCAATTTACATTTATCGTGTTTTGTTTTTAGTTCCTATATCTTTTTTGCGTGCAGGTGCGAATACATTTCAAATCTTCAGCTAACTCTGCTCTCTTGGCATTCTCACGTATGTATTTGTATGTCTGTATGCATATATAATATATATTTAAATGGGTGTTTTTATATTTATATAAAGATAGCTTACTATTTTTATTCTTAGCACACTTTGGCTTGAAGCCCAAGTGGGTTGGTTTGTTTCTTCTGTTTCTGCTTAACCGCCACACATGACCATCCCTTGAACCGAACACCCCCACCACACCACAACACAACACACCAACGTGGTATAGTGGTGAGGGCGTTCGATGATCTCAATAATGGTCAGAGCGCTTCCAGATTAATTAGTTTACATTTATCGATAACTTTCTTACCTCTAAGTGTTAGGCTTGTATTTACATTGATTATTTCAAGAGTTTTTTGTTTGTGTTCTTGTTTTTCTTAGTTGGTTTCTGTTTCTTTTTTCCTTTGTGTTATATATATGTTTGCTGTTCTCTGCGGGATCGTATAACTAAATAACTTAGAAGATTGTTTGGAGTAGGCAATGCTGTTGTTATGAGTGCAAACAAATCCGTTTAAAACAAGTTAAAATTGTTGCTCTGCGCGGGCTGATTTCGATTGTGTTGGTGTTTTTAAAAATTGACGAATCATTTAAAAAGACTTAAAGAACGAAAACGAGTTATATCCTTTGGGCTGTTGTTTTTGTTTTTTGTTAGATGCGTCTGCTGCGTGAACCGTCGGTCCGGTTTTTCCACTCCGGATCGTTGGGGTCGTCGTCCTCGAAGGGATCCTCGGCCATGTCCTCCTCGAGAGCTTCCTGATCGCCCAGATACGCATCGATCGCCGAATCGTACAGATTCAGCTCAGCATCTGGCGTCGATTCCTGTTCATCGTCGAGCGGTGCAAGATGATGCTTCGGATAGTCATCGTCCTCGACCTCTAGCAGCACATCCTCCTCTTCCGGCTCTGAAAGTCCACCATCTCCTTCTAAAGCTACCCTTTCTATTTCATCCTCGATAACGTCTATCTTCGCCGCCATTGGGTGACCATTGATCTGCCCATTATTCAGCTTTGTCTTGGACTTGCTGCTTCGTCGACTGCCACTGCTACCGCCGGCTCCTGTGAAGCTGCTTCCGTCGCAGTTCGACGACACGGACTTGGTTTTCGCCCGCTTTGTGCTGGGTATTGACGCGGGCGTTGCGTAGGTCTCGGCCAACAAGTGCTGATAGACCTCCTCGGAGAGTGGAAAGACCAAAGGCTCAAAGAGTGACGGTTGTTGCATCAGCGCATGGCTCTGTCACAAAAAAAAAAAAAAAAAAATAAAGGCGATTGTTAGAAAAGTAACAGACAATATTTTGGAGATTCGGTTAAAAGGAGAAAATCCCTTGACTTACCTCCCGCAGATCGGGCGTGGTGCTGCGCCGCTCCGTCTGATCTTTAAGCTTGCTAGACGTTGTGCGACGGCGGGCTTTACGCGACTGGCCGCCCATTAGCAGCTCGCCGCTCTCGTTGAACCCCTCCAGTGGATGTGCCAGCGGCGAGGGAATGCTTTCGTTGTCTGCCCCAGTTCCGCCGTGGTGTGGAGCAGGGGAGGCAGGATCCGGAGTGTTGGCCCCGCTCGATTCAGCGCGACTATCTGCACGGCGATTCGCTCGGGATCTGGTGCTCCATGGAAACTTGAGGAACGTCTCGAAACGGCGACGCTCCTCGAGCAGGGCGCGTTGATGTCTTGCAATGAAAGCCTCATCTGAGAGATCTTCCTCATTGTACTCCTCCTCCTCCATTTCTATGAGGGGCGCTTTAGCCTGACCATTGGCCTTGGGCTTGGTGACCTCGTCCGCGGACTTATCCAACTTGAGCCGCTTGGGCAGTGGTGGCTCTATCTCTGCAGTTGACTCGGCCAGATGTTCGGCAGTTTTAGCATTTAGATTTTTTGAAATGTTGCCATTAAGCTTAGGCTTCTTCCCCTTCTCCTCCTTCTTTTCCACTTTGTGCTGCTTCGCTGCCGCTGCCTTGGGTTCAGCCGTCTTGGCATTGCCATTTACCAGTCCATTCTTATTATTGTTGTTATTATTGTTAACAATATTATTGTTATTGTGCTTAACGACTGTCTCCTTCTGGCTAATCCCGTTGACCTTTGGAGGCTGCTCATCCAGCAGCTTTTGTTCTTGAGGGGGGTGTAGGGCATTGGTTCGTGTGTTGGAGAGCTCGTCTGACGTCGCTGTTGCTGGGACACTGCCGTTGCTGAGTTTGCACTCCGCTGACTCATCCGCCGACTGCTTCGCCTTATCACTGTCGCTGTCAACAATGCGCCACCTGCAGATGTGAGGGAACACACATCGTTAATGATTAGAATAGTAATTAATGGGAGCCGAAAGCAGCAATAATTCCCCAATTTGATATCAGAGTTGTACGCCCCCCAAGATGGCAGTGTAAAAGTACTCACTTGGGCGTTGGAATCTCCTTGTAGGGGAGAATCTCTACCTTCGTTTGGGCGGCCATGCTGTAGGGTATAACGATGTTGTCGATGTCGTAGATGGGACGAATACGGCGTTCCGAGGATCTAAGCGAAAGAAGTCGATATATTTATGTTGAAACCAGCGATTCGTATATTCAAGCTTACCTCTCGTTTCGATGACTGTGGGTGGGCGAGGAGTTGCGACGACTCCTGCTACTGCTCTGCTCTGACCCCCACTGGTCCCCGTAGCCGTTGAGGTGATGGTTGTTGATGTTGCTGCCGGATGATTGCTGCTGCTGAATGGAATTGCAGCTACTGTTATTGTTGGTGGATTTACGTGACTTCTTAGCGCCGCTGTGTGCCGAGATCGAGGTTGAGGAGGGACTTTGGTGGCGTTGTCGTTGGCGTTGGCGAGAGTCTGGCCACTGCGATCTGGAATTGTTCACTCCAGTTGGGTGTTGTTGTTGTTGCTGCTTCCTGCCCGTTGCCGCCGCTGCTGCATTAAATCCGTAAATTGAATGCGGAAACGGGACGAGACGGAGACAAGAAACGGAATGGCAAAATAAAGCAATTGGTAGTTGTTGTTGTTGTGGTTGTAGTTGTTGGTGGTGGTTGGTGGAATTGGTTGGAATATTCGTGTTTTTGGTTGATTTTCGATGCAAAGAAAAAGAAAGAAGAGATGCAAAAGATTGTTGTTGTTTTATGTTAATAAATTATCGAATTTTGTCATGTTTACAATAATTTACTGTTGGCCACAAGTGGCGTTGTAGTAGGCGTAGTAGAAGAAGTAGTAGTAGCAGTACCAGTACCGTTTCCGCTATCCCCTCCCCCGACGCCACTGCCACCGCCTCCTCCGGCTGCTAATGCTCCACTGCCCGCTTCCTTATTTGAGTTATTGTTGCGCTCCTTGCGGCGTATATATCGCCGCTTGACCGCATCACCCGGCCGGCGGCTGCCTGCATGTCCGCCGCTACCGCCGGAGGCTAGCGTCTCGCGCTCCGCCTTCCACATGGCCTTTACAATGGCCTTGGCCTGAGAGCGCATGACGCGATACTGCCAGTCCGGCTGGCGGGCAACGGCCTCCAAGTGAACAGACTGGCTGACATCTAAAAAGAAGCAATTGAAGTGGTGTTTTTTTTTTGTTAAAAGGTTTTCGGCAAGCATTCCCAAATTTAAATCACTTTCAGGGCGCTATTTCCTGTTTTCACTGAAAACGACTTAATGGCATTCTTTAATTTAAAATGCAACCAATCCGGTTCCTACTTCATTATAATTATTTTAGGGTTTTAATCAGGAATTTTAAGTATTTCGAGATTTATGAATTATTCTAGTCTACTGGTTCATTTGTCTGAATAGGAAAAAATGAAAAAAATATTTAAAAGTTAGCCTTCAATTGGATTTTGCTATGCCTAAAACTGTTCTAGACTTTAGTGTTTTCTGTAATGGTTACACAAATTCACAAAACTGTCCACCTTTTCCTTTGGAAAATGCTTATTTATTGGTCGTAGGTTTTTTTTCAAGTCTAGTTTTCTAGCTGATTATTAGTTAATCTATAAGTATCAAATCCAGAAATGGAAATTCAATGCAATTTCCCACTCACCGCTGGCAAAACTGAGCACTGGATGGTAGCCAGCATCGATCAGGGCCACCCGGTTGGCGGGCATCATCGTCTCAACCAGCTCACGGGGCGCCGTGGGGTCCGTTCGACCTGTACACAGGGTGCAGGGCACCTGGGGCCACTGGCAGCCGCACTTGATGTTGCTGGGTCGCGCCGCCTTCTTCGATATTGTGTGCATGTTAGTGGTCTGGAAGAGCTTGCGCTTTCGAAACTCTGACAGCACCAGTGGCCTAGCCCGACTGCAGAGCATATCGGATGGCGGCTCCTCCTTTAGGCCATTCGCAGGCGACGCTGACTGGCTAACAGTCGCCTCAAGTCGGACTTCCCCCTTGGAGTGGGAAAGCTCCACATGGAGGTCATTGTACTGGCGGATTTTCATCTCCAGATCGGCCAACTGTGAGCAGACCCACGACCATCGCAGGGCTATGGCGGCCCGATCTTTTGAGTAACGCCAAACAGCGCGTCGTGCTCTGAAACGAATTGAATGGAATAAAAATTAAATAATTAATTATTTTAATTTTGGGAATGATATGAATGGTAAATACATTTATATATTGCTGTTCAAGTATATTATGGGAGTACTTTAACTTCCTAGAGCACAAATTGCTAGCAACAAAAAATGTGTTGATAAGATCCCCGGAAAAAAAAGTGTCATAGCAGCAATTAAAATCGATTAATTGCGTAGTTAAGGTTGCCCTCATAGGAATTGAAAAAAAGCAACTTGATTTAATTTAAATCTGATCCGCCAGACATAAATCTACAAAAAGCAAAGAAAATGATGTGGCATCTGCTCAGGGATACCTTAAATATCTAGTATAAAGAACCTACTTTAAAGGGCTGTCAAAAAAGTAACTCCAACAAAGACTAAAAACAACCATATAAATCGACAAACATTCATTTCAGTAAAATACCCAAATACCTCCATGTTATCGGACATGAGACCACAAATCGATCAAAAAATCTGACAGAAAAGGGTGGCTAAAAAAGCTGGAGACCCAAAAAACATTTGGAAGCCTAGCAGATTAGTTGGAAATTCACCCAGAGCATCTACAAATAAAATCAAGTCTAAAAGGCCGGATGCACTTACATGGGTAGCGATTGCTGCTGGGTATTGTTATATGTGACCATCTCATCGGCGGACTCGCCGCCTGAACTGGATTCTGTGGCATCAGAATCAATGGCGTTCTGAACCTCTCGCAGCTCTGTGTGCAGCAAACCGGCAACGTGGGTGAGTTCGCTGGTCACATAAGTGTCGTAGCCGGGCACAATGTCGTCCGCCCGCGGCGTATTCGGATCCGTACTTGACCCCGTCATGACTGCTGCTGCACCAGTTGCTGAAAGACCCGCTGCTGCTGCTGTTCCTGCTCCGGGCGTCGTATCCAACTGATTCTTCCGCGGACGCTTACCCGGCAGCGTTGTGGAGTTTGAGCTGTTAAACCAGCTGGAAGATGGAGCCAAGGTGGCCGAGGTACCGGTGGCCGTGTGACAGATCTGCTGATGCCGGGCCGCTGTGCCAATATGCCGAATTACACTGCTCATCTGGCTGGCCGGCAGTGGATGCTTCTTCTGCTCCTCCCAGAATGCACAGTCTGGTCGTCCAGAGACAATCGACAGAACAGTTGCCTCCCGCTCGGAGAGTGTGGCACTCCTGGCCGGATTGGGAGTCTTGTGGGAACTGCGGGCGGACCATTCCAGAATACCGGCCACCTCTCCGCTGGCGTGGCGGCACATTTGACGGGCCTGGAACTTACGCATCCGGCGCAGCAGAAAATCGATCCGGCGCGTGATCACATGTTGCTGCTGCTCTAGCTCTGCATGGCTCTCCTCCCACGGACGCTCCTGCTTAACACTTACGTTCGCGGTGGAAAGGCTGCTGGTGCTGGGAAGGATGCTAGTGCCGCTGAAGTTGGGCTTTATATCTGGCAGCTCGGGGGCACTGCTTGCAGGTGCCGCCGTGGCGGACATGGACGCAGCGGGTGGCGCCTCCTCCCACACCTCGTTGAAGAAATCACAGATAGCATCTGGATTGACATGGGCGCCGTCGAATGTTTTCAGCGCCTTGAGCACCTCCTCGATATCCTGATCCTCTAGCACAGCGCCAGCGGCCCCATCTTTGAGGAAATTAATCGATCCTGCGGTACTCTGTGGCGTCAGCTGTTGCTGTTGTGGCGTCGCTTGCAAACGCGGGGAATCCTGCGCCGGATTGACTGGCGTCTGCTGTTGCCTGCTAGGTGTTGTTGGTGGCTCTGGCTCAGGCGGAGGAGGCAACAGCTCCTCTGACATGGCAATAACATTGCCATCCAGCTGACTGAGGCGCTCTAAAAAAGTATGCCAAAACAGGTAAGCTTTTGGTTTTCAGTTAAAAATTTACACTTACCCTCTATATTATCTGTTTCGATCTTGGACAGCTCCTCCTCGGCTGGAATTGACTGATCCTCAGCTGCTGCCTCTCCGCTGACACCTGGGGATTCGGTGGTCGAGCTGGAGCTCGTGGCGGCTGCCGGCGTTGTGGCCGGCTCCTTACCAAGGCTTACTTCCGGCAGCGTTTTCCTCAGACAAATCTCCGCGGAGATAGCCTCCTCGAAGTTGATCGTCAGATCCGCCAGCAGCTGGGCCGTGGAGTTGTCCTTAGGCGAGCTGCTGTGTGTGTTTGTGGTGTTGCTGCTGCTATTGTTGTTCTTCTCCACCACCGCTGGTGAGGCGCTGGTGGAGGCCACACCGGCATCCGGCGTGGAAGGACCAGCGCTGGCACTACTGCTAGAACTGTGTGGAGTCGGGGCTGTGCTCAGCCCCATTGCTGGTTCATTGCTTGGCTTATTGCCGCCGGACTTTCGCTTATTGTTCGGTTGCGAGGATCGCAGTTGCGGAATAGTGGCTGCCGGCGATGATGCCAAACCGCCTGCCGCCGCTGCTGCTGCTGCGGCAGCTACGGCTGCAGCTTCCCGAGAGCGGGTGACGCGCGTTGTGGCCGTGGCCGGCGTGGGCGTCGATGGCTTCTTGGCCACTGAGCCTGGACCTGCTCCTCCTGTGCCGCCGCCGGCAACTGCGCCGCTGTCCGAAGAGGAGCTGCGGGCCGAAGGCGAGGCGGTACTGGTGAGCTTCTCCTTGGGGCTTAATGGCTCGGCTGTGAGCGCTGGTGCCATAGTTGGGTAGCTCGCATTTGGGTCGCGAAGCTCGGGCTAATTCTGGTCAGGTCACTTTAGACGTAAACAAAACCAAAACAATAATTTATTTTAGTAAAACGATAAGCGCGACGATTGGAATGAAAACGACAGGCAAACTTTTTGTTTTATAAACTGCTCTTACACTCTCACTCACACACATATATGTGTCGGGTTACTTCGTTATCTCAGCTTAACTCTTTCCCCAAATCGAACAAAAAAAGCCGCTAATATTTGTGTATTTTTTTTATCTCGCTCTGCCGCCCGCCTCCCAAAGAAATCTCGTTGTGTCTTTTCCGGCGTGTTATGTACAAAACACGCACTAAAACAGTCACAGCCGCGCTCTAGCTGAGCGGGAGCGAGAGAGAGGTCAGAACGCGCGCTATTGCACACAATGATGCGCAATAAAAAAAACTGTATAGAACACACGCACACACACACACATTAGAGCGTATTTACTTGGGCTCGGGCAGGCAGAGATGGGACAGACTTCTTACATACTGACGAAATCATCGCTGCTGCTCTCGATGGGAAAAACACAATTTTCCGAGATTTTGCATCATCTGCTGGCGGAAAATTGGCGCGCAGGCCTATTATTATTCGTGGTAATTTCCATGTTTTTATGTAATTGCATTTATTGAATTTTTCGACTACAATTAGCAGCAGCAAACAGCTCCTCGCGCCTTTACAGCAATAATACACATACTCTGGCACACCACACACACACACATTCGAACTGAACCAGCGTGCAATTGTGTGATCCACTATTTTCAGTTATTTACACAATCCCATTTTTTGTATTCCGCATGTCGGTATTAAATTCTGAGTATAGTTAATTCAGTTGTGTGAGTTTTTCTACTGTATTTGCCCGATTCAAACGAAAAGGGAACAGAAAAACGTTTTCAGCGCGAAAGTATTGTCCAGTACTCACTAACACAAAGGCACATGCACATGCCCACATTCACACCGACAGGCAAGCACAGGCAGGCAGCACGCAAGAATTTGTAAATTGCTTAAAAATTAAGTAGTATATTTGTTATACGCACAATTCGGCCGTTTCGCACAATGCTCGCACAATTGCCAACTATTTGCTTACACAATGGCGTGACTCGCGCTGGGGGAATTGTACGGTTCTCTTCACGAATTTTTTTCCTCATTTATTTTTTTCATGCTGCCCTGCTACGCTTTTGGCAAAACGACGTGTATCGAATCGTATCGAAGCTGTACTCGTTTCTGTGCCCTGGCTGCCAGACCAAAGTACGCATGCCGCGCAGCCGGTTGTCTCGCTTGCACTTGTGCGTCACCTATGGCGGTGGCGCGGCGCAGGGTTGCGTGTGCGAGCGGGACGAGCCGAGGGTTGCGTTACTTTTCGGCATATGGCAACACTGGGCGCGGGCTGCTACCATGGAATGCAACCGTGCGATAGGTGTTTCGATATATTTGTTATTGTTTTGGGATTTTATGGCTAAATTATAAATTATTGTTAATATGTTTTATGTGATTTACAGAATAAGAGTTTCTGGGCATAAGCCGACAAGATCAAGTCTCACATAACAGAGCTAAATACACTAAGCTATAATTGAATATGTTGAGCCTCGAGTGGTGTTCCTTCAAGGATTAACTTTAGCGCCTTATTTCGAAGCTACTGAACGTGTAGGCATCGATCTCCTTTGCCGGCGAGAACTCCGCCTTCGTGATGCTCGACTGGGGACTGCCCTTGGTCTGGAGCCAATGTTTCCTGCAAATTGTGGGGAAGGTGTTAAATCTTCTGACTAGCACTGATTCCCAGACATTTACATTTCGTTGAGCTGCGGAAGAGGTCCCTCCAGTTGGCCCTTGACCGTTCCGTCCTTGGTGTTCATGCACCAGCCCTTGATGCCCAGCGTATTGGCCGTCTGTGCCGTGAACTAAATCAAAGGATTTACATAGATCCTGCTAATCAGTCAAGAAAATGGACACTTACCTTGCGGAAGAACACACCTGCAATGAAAAGGACAGATTAGTTAGGTCAGAACAGGTAGATGGCTAATTAAAGTACCTTGCACACGGCCAAACACCTCGAAGTTGCACGCGAAGAGCTGCGCGGATTTAGATGCTGCCATAATGCCACCGAAATTGGATGTTCGAAGATCCTGGCAACTATACCCGCCTGGATACCGTAATAGAGAAAACAAAACAAATGCTCGGACAACCAAAATAGAATTACATCGATGTGCCATAGTGACCGACAGCGATGTGACCGTACTTCAGGGCGCCAAATAATACTACGGGGGTTTACAAATCATTGATTAACTTTAACTACATTTATTATTAATGAACATTTATTTAACAGATTTGATCGAGTTCCGGATAAAACTATTCTTGGAATTACTCTCTGCTACAGCACTAAACAGATTTGGAAAAACATACCAAGGTACAAACAACTAATAACAAAAAATCATCAAGTTTGAATGGTCTTAATCAGCTTATCCACATTCGTAGCCTCCACCACGGCGTTCACCTGCAGGCCCGCGTCCTCCATGGCTTTTCTGGTAGCATCTCCGACAGCGATCAGCTTGCGATCCTTGGTGGAAACGTTGAAGCTGTCGAAAAACTCCTGGGAACTGCGGACGCTGGAGGGCCCAAAGAAAACGATCGTCTCCATTCGCTTAAGCTTGAGAGCTTGACGCATCTGGTCGATAAACTTCGGATGGGACTGACTCTCGTAGACTTCGCAGACGTCCACCCGGAATCCCTGGGCCACCAGCCGGAGTCGAAGCGTATGTCCGACTCCATTGCCGCAGGGCATTAGCAGCGGAAGCTCCCGCTTGGGTCCAAACGTTTCTACGATCAGGTCACACAAATTATTGGCATTCACTGTGTAATCGCCCATAGTGGACAGTCTCTGCAAGGTATTCCAAACCAAGCTGTGGGTGCTTTTTCCTAAGGAGTAATTGTTTAGAGAGCGCCAGCAACTGGGTAGTGGAGCGTTCTCCAGAGCCTCGTTCACAGCCTGGACACATCGGGGGGACGCAAAGATAATCCCAGCGTATCTGTGCGGTTCCTGGAGCTTCATTTGCAGTGTCTTTAGATTCTTAAACACTAATTGCGCGGGAGCAATGTAAATCGGTTCCAGGTTATGCCGACGCATGGCGGATCCATATAAATCTTCAGACGATGGAACCTTTAGCAGGATTACCGGCCGTTTACCATGAGCAGACATGATAGAAAAGGAATTTATTCGAAATAAAACTTAATATGTTGAATTTGATCTTAGTTTTTGAAGCTATTGGGCTGGACGTGCGTTGAAGTCGTTAAGAAACTATACTGAGCCAGTTTGAAAACTATCCCCGCGCCTTACTTATCGGTAATATATAAAAACAAATGCTACAGGTTGCTTTTTCGAAATAAAAAGAAATCCGTAACCTTTGAATTGTCCTTTAAGATCAACTTAAATCCAATAAAATAACCCTTTTTTTACTGGAATGTTATCACAATAATTTGCATGGTATTCAATAATATTTTGTATACATTTATATATGGAAAACAAGGGGAGTAGAGGACATTAATCGTAAAAATAGCAAGGACAACAAATAGATTTTGATCTGCTTAGACAGCACCCATTTGCAGGATGGGCGTAAAGAGCTTGTAGGCCTTCTCTATGAACTCCACGCCCGATAGCATTTCGGAAAAGAATGTGCTGACCCGGGCCTTGGCCTCCTCAGGTTCCTGCTTGCTGCTTAAAATAGCGGCGTACCTATGAGTAAGACCCTGAAGGTGTCCATTAAACTGCTTGCAGAGATTGACCACGCCGTCCACCTCGTTGGCAGTGCTGTGATGTGGTTTCACCAGCAGCAGCTCGGCGATCTTGTGAAGCTTGCACATCTCCAGGGCACAGGCTTCGCTTAGAGCGTGGATGCTCTTGGCATAGGCCTGCTCCAGATCGGCAGAGGTGGCCTCATCGGATGTCAGCCACTCCAGGCACAGCGACCAGTGTCTGTTATGGGTTTAATGATAGCCACTTAATAAAGGACTTTGGGTTAAGTTACAAACTACTCACTTGGCCACATCCTCAAACTGAATCTCCACCTCGGTATCGGCAATGGTACCCGCCAATCGTTCGCTCAGCTCCTGAGAGTCGTAGTCGCCCTCGCTTTCGCACTCCAGATCCTCCAGTTCAAGCAGTTCTTTCACTTCATTGATTGTCTCCTGCAGCTCGGACAGAGCGTTGCCACTAACCGCATCTCGGAGAGTGTCCAGCTTGAGGCAGGACTCCTTCGACAGGATCTCAAGGGCCTCGTAGTGCACCAGGCCGCAGTAGTTCTCGAAGAGAATCTCAAAGCGGAGCTGCGCCTTTTGCTTCTCCAGCCGCAACTGCTGCAGCGACTCCTCCATTTGGTCTGCATCCTTCTTCGCCTCCAGCAACAGAGCACTGAGATTCGGTTTGTTGGCCTCCAGTCCCAGGAGCTTCCGCTTGTTCATCAGCTTAGGATCGTTGTCCTGCAGTATGGTCATGGTCTTCTTGCCAATGCCCTCCAGGGTGTCCAGCCCCGTGTTCAGTACCTTTGTGCCCAAATTAGTGACGAAACCAAGACCAAAGGCGGGTGACGCCTCGCCTTCCGCTTCTGTGGTTTCTTCTGGCGTTCCTGCTGGTGTTTTCTCCCGGTGTGTGCCCTCAACTGGCATCTCCTTGGCTGCCGCCTGTTGTTCGGCTGCATTGATGCGAGCCAGTTCCTCGGGGTCGGGCACGCCTATGATCTGATTCAAGCCCTGGTTCACTTGAGTGGTTATGGTGCCCAATCCCTCGGTAGCTGTGCTTAGCACGGAGCTTAGCTTCCCGCCCCACAGGCCCCACGAGGATGATGTGTTGGAGGTCACTGTGGGCGGAGCAGCAACAGGGGGTTCCTGTTTGGGTGTTACCACCACATCCTCTCTAGCTTTTGCGTTGTTTTTGCTGCCATCTTTCTCCTGCTGCGACTGCGTCTCCTTTTCCACGTGGACAAACTTGTCCTCGTCGTCGCCCCAGTCGTCCCAGTTGTCATCCTCGTCGCTCTGGTTCCAATCGTTGCCGCTTTCTTCCTCTTTTTTCGGTTTGTTTGCCATTATTTGCGTTGGACTTTCTGCCTCCACGTAGATTTCTGCACCACCAGGGCTGCCAACTGTAAAAATGGAACAGCTGTATTTTCCACAACACGTTGCTGCCAACTTGTTAGGAAAGGAACTCGATTGGTGTATTCAAGCGATAATTTTGCCGCCATAAAGTTGAGAATGTATCGATTTTTGAAGTAAAAATATTAATTCAAAACGTGGGAGTTACGAATAAAATATTTGTGAATAAAAATATATTATAATAAATATATATTTCAGAAAGCGCAGGGCTGTATCTATGTATTTAACTAAATTTTATTAATTAGAAAACACAAGGTATTAACTATTCTTAAACCGTAACAAATAAATGTATATTTAAATATTCACGTTTACTAATTTACTACTACTACTTTAAATAATTTAAAGATTCTCTAAACCTACGAGATTCAGGTTGCTTTTAGTAATAAAAAAATTCCCAAATATCTTTGGAAACTAGAAATAAGCACAAACACTTGTTCCTAATAAAAACATTTTTAAATGTTGATTGTGTACACTCCTGTGTACTAAAACATCGCCTTACCTTTTGCTCTTATCAGGAAACCATAAATAATTCGTATTGCCTAAATTCCTTCACCTGTGCGCATACACTCACCTCCTGGCAGAGGACACCTCCTTCTCCTCCACATAGGCACACACTCGTTCACAAGCACACACCCGCAGTGTTGTCAATGCATACAAATTGAATTGATATTAGTTTGTGAAATATTTAAGCTGCCAAAATACGAAATAAATGTTCTGGCATGTGCGTGTGCAAAGCTTTTTCTATTTTCCATGTAATTTCTACCTTTTCATGGTTTCTTATTGAGATGAGAGAGACCAAGAATGTTTTCTAATTTGGAATAAAACGCAAACATTATTGTTTTGCCAGGTTTTGTTTTGTGCTTTTCTGGATCATTTGAGCTTTGTTCTGTTACATGCTTGTGTTTATTTGCTTGCACAATGAATATTGTAACTTACACCGGTCACTCCAATCCCTCCGCTTCAGGTTTCAGTCAGTTGTTTTTATTATTTTTTGGAATAATTGGATACTTTTAGTTTTAATTGTTTTTTGCGTATGTATGAATATATAATTGAAAAAAAAAACTTCTGAATGTGAATACCGGAACATATAAATCCACTCTCTAAAAATATATATACTGTACATTTCTAGTTGAATTTTCTGTTTTTTGGCGAACAGTGTCCCACATTTAACTGGGCTCATAAATTAGAAAATCACACTGACACGTGTGCAGACAAATGTGCGTTCATCAGTCGAAAACCGAAAAGTTTTGCTAGCTGAGCTAACCAGCATATAAATTTGACAGCAACGGTGAGGCAGCGCAAAATTAACAAACCAACACAATTTCCACACACTCACGCACACGCAGACAACACACACACACAGCTCGACGCACACCTTGACATAAACAAAGAATTTTCATAAACTTGCTGCACAGTTTTCCTCTTTCAGCCGGGAACCACATGAATATTTCGTCAAGCCAGGAAATTTATCTTCCCCAAGGAGAGGGAGTACCACTATATACCACTATATTCAACCCGCAAGCGATATGAGTAATTTTTTAATTAAAAACTTGGAGAAAAAGACGCTATTGCCGCCGACCAACAAAACCGCTAAAATGCCAGTTGAGCAATGAAATACCTTTAAATAAGCTGAAGTCCTTTGTATTCTCCATTGAGAGTGTATCCTGATACGACAAAATGGCCTCAAAGTGACACTCTCAAGGCATCACCATCCTTGGAGCCAGTAATTGCATGTTCAGTGTCTTGTCAGGGCCAAAAATTAAATGTAAATTTGCCAAAATATAGGAAGGAGTACATAAATATTGGCTCTTGTCTTGGGAAGTTTAAGGAAGAGAATTAGAGTGTGTATAAGTAACAGATATAGTCTTAAGATGCAATAAATCGATTTTTAATAGTAATAGTAAGCAAATTTAGACACTGATAATATTACTATATATGTATATTTAATCTCCGATTTATATTACCAAGAACCAAACTTTGCACATTGACAAATATGAAATAAAACTTAAAAATTGGTTTTACCTATGGAAAAACAAGAAAAGTGGGACAGGCAAGCGGAAGTCCCGAGGATTGTGCCCATCAATGATGGGACATCATCGTCACAAATTCGCACACAAGCACACACATCCTTCGTGGCTGCCAACCGGCATCTTTGTCAAGCAACTAATATAACTCAAGAGGAGCTGCGTTGTTCTGGGCGCCACCTCCCACCCACTGGCTCTTCCACTCCCACACCCAATCTTTGTCCCAGGACAACAATGTTATTGATACCTCAGCCATACCCCCGACAAACAAGAGAACCCTTTCGGCAAGCTCCCCCGAGCATATTGTCTCAAATATTTCGGTGCGTGTGCGGGTGTCTGTATAAATCTTATTCCCATCGACTTGATGTTTCTTTCTGAAGAGTTTTGCTGATGACAATAAACCAAACTTCCAGCTGTTTATTAACATGTTTCTCTGTCAATATATATACATATATATATATTCTCCTATCTATAAATACACGCATGACTGGGAAGGTCGGGTGGGTAAATGGGACGGCTGGCCTGGATCCCGAACCCGGAACGCATTTCTATGTCCTATAAGTATCGCTTTACAAGTGGAAAAATTCCTTTAGGCCAAAGTGTGCATTAAGAAGATTGTTTTACTATTGTTGTAGGACACCCAAAATGTACACATTTATCTATACGTATAAATACCGACATACATATCCCTTAACTACATGAATATTGAAGGTACTGGGAGAAATAAATAGGGCGACTTTGTAAACGTATTGGATTTTTCGCATCAATTTTTTTAAGGAGCAATTTTCTTTTAGTAAAGGAAAATATTTTTATAAGCGTAGTACCCACAAGTTGGGATTTCTAGGGCGAGGGATTTAAAATCAATAAAATATTTCTCTCAGTGTGGCCACACGAAACTTGCCCAAAGGCGAATGCTTCTTGTTCTTCTCCTTCCTGCGTCCTGCTTCCTGCCACTTTTCGCATCTTCTCCTTCGGCGTCTACAACAGCTTCCTTGCTGTTGTCATTCCACTCAACAAAAGGATTCAAATTTCATTAAATCTCATACAAAAGTATCAAAATGCCATTGTTGTCATGGAACTCCCACACACACTAACACTCACTCACACTGCACTTGCCAGGAGGACCTTGTCTCATTCCTTCGCTCACACATTGGCGAATCTGGGAATGGAAGGCTTGACGTCTTTAGCTATTGGTAACTGCTTTTACTTTGGGCCTTTTATTCGATTTACGTTTGAAGTTACCCCATATGTTCACACACCCAGGGAGGGGGTCTGGGTGTGTGTGTGTGGGGAAATGTTTGCCGAGCAGGCGTGTCCTGATCGCTATCTGACGTAATGGAAAACTTAATAGACAAGCCGGTAGAAATAAACTGGTAGAGTGTTGTGTCTCCAATACATTAATAGCAGCAATTGCAATCGTTTGATTGTCCTTCCTCGCCCTTCTAGATAATCCCCACAAAATCAGATATTATTGCCAATACTGCGATATGTGATCTGCTTAAATTGGGCATTCATATTTACTGAGGGGTTGGTAAGCTGATTACTTTACGCCAACAACTAGGTTACAGTTTTTATCCCTAAAGAAGTTGGTTGTGAAATAGTTTCCAACTTTAATTGTCATTATTCCAGTCCATTATTGCTTTTTTATTCATATTTATTTTTATTGAAAATAAGAAATGAAGTAATTGTATACAATTTATTTTTATTAAAATTGTAGTTATAATAAAGTTTGCAAAACATATGAAAATATTGCTAATTATTATTGTTTTATTGCAAAAAAAGAAGAGGAAACTCCTGCTTCCTGAACTAACAATGTCCTCTGTATCGTTATAACTTTTTTTTGATGCTGGGACAACTTTTCAAATTGCTTTCGCATTAAGAATCACTAAAATGCGTTTTTCCGCTACACTGCAGCCTGGTCGTTATGTCGCATACTTATAGTATGAGCATAAACAAGTATACATATTTGTGTGACTTGGAGTCAAGCCATGATTGGCTTATTTCAAGTGTCATTAAGTTTGTGGTGATCAGCCACGATGTCTCGTTTCTTTCACTTTTCGTCAACTCATCAAAGTTTGGTCTCGCACAAAAGTTGAACTGCCTGTCCGACGCAGTCCCTTGGGAGGTTATGGCCATGATTGGATTAAACATTTATATGTGCTTACATGTGGTCTAAGGCCAGAAGCCACAAAATGATAGACGAAACTTGGCCACAATAAAATTGCTGTAAACAATGTGGGCCAAACCGAACAAATTTTCATAAGCTTTTCCCCCATGCAGTCCTACTCGGCTCTCTCGAATAAAACCGCAAATCATTGGACGAATCTGCTGGAGCTGAGGCCAGAAAACTGACCAAAAATATTACACATACGCCATGTGAGCCGGAAAAGACTAAGGCAATTTATTTGTTTATTGTTTGTATTGCTCAAAACCCATTGGAAGTTCATAATTTCAGAAATTAAGTTAACTCTGATGGTGTTTTAACTTAATTTGGCATCAAATGAGATTAGTTTGACAAAGAAAATTTAATTCTTTTTTGAGCTGAGTGACTGAGTAGCAAGTGAGAAGGATTTTAATTTAATTATACAAAATGGTTTGCTTGGAATTTATCATATTTTTTAAGCTTAAACACTTGAAAATAACGAATAAAGCATTAATTTTAGCCATATTTAAGTTAAGAATACCAAAATAATTCCAGTAGACGTTCCATATGTTCCCGCAGTTTCCTGCTTTCAATTGCTCTGCAATCTTTCGCCGCTTGGCAATCATTACTGCGCTGAATCCAAGAAGAAATCACGTTCCCGGCAGCATCCACATGTCAACGCGGGGCACCGAATGATGCCGCCAACGCCACGCATGCCACTAATGAGGCTCGTTAGCGTGGTCATCCAGCGGAATCCGATCCAACCCGTCCCTCCATCCCTATCAGCCCTGTCGGCTCATTCGGCGGCGGGCAATGTATGCAACAAGCCGCACTGTACAAATGTACCAGGCAAATCGATAAAGTAATTTGGCCAAAGCCCTCCGACCTCCCTCCGCGAACATTTTGGCCACATAATTTTGTTTGGCAGAGCGGCACGTAGCCGATGACTGAGTGACTGGGCCAGGGACCAGGAAACGCCACGGGGACGGGGACTCTGGATGGCTCCGCCTAATTGCAGCACCATCTTGTGGTTATGTGCGCTACGTGCGTTTGTCGCACGTCTGGCTAATTAAAATTGCATTTTTCGTACGCAGCCCACACAGGTTATTGATATGCCATGGATATGTGTATATATATAGGAGAACAATCGTGTATATATTGCACAAATGCGAACATTGGTTTATCGTGGCACCAGTTGGAGGTCGTTTATACTGGCTATATACCATATTTGAGTGCCTTCTGGGGGTTTGATGAAGTCGAGGAGGTATTGTAGGGCTATAAAGGTAGGAAGCGTCGACTTATAATGTAGGAAAATAACAGAAATAAATATACTGCTTCGAAATATATTCTTCATTCATTAATATTCTGAAGAACGAATTAACGTGAGCTCATATAAAAACATTTTTATTATGGTATTTTCGGTTTTTAATTAAGAAAAGATCTTTAATATAAGGTATCTTAATATAAGTTTATTTATTAAAGAAATTTCAACTAAGTTTACTTTAAATCTTTACAAAAAAATATTTAATATTATACATACATTTTACTTATTATTATTATATTTAAATCACCACCTTGCAAAACTGCCTCATTTTATTCCCTTTGCATTTACTGAAAGCCTGATTTAAGTTGGGCCATCAATACCCCACAGAAATCACATGAGTTTCCACTCGTTTGACATGTCAAGCACAATGCCTACCCACACCTGAACGCAATATCAGTTTTCAGCATTCAGTTAAGCCCAGCTATCTTATTGATTGTCCCTAGGCTGTGCGCACATCCTTTCACCATCTGCATAAAATCAATCAAATTTACGGAAATGCTTGAAAGGGTCAGAGACCCTCTCATCAGACCCCCAAATAGGTCTAATTAATTGATTGAAGATGTCGTGGGCGCTGTTGTTGTCCATGTCCTTGGTGTGGTCATGCTCTCCAGCTCCTTTGTTGAGTTGGGGTCGCAGTTGCAACTGTCATAATATTGACTCATTGCCGTTGTAATTAATGGTGTTAAGACTCGCACGCCGTTTTAATGCAATCCAATTGACAGGCGGCATCCGCTGCACATATAGCCACCCGCACTGAACCATCTGGGGGATATTGATTTCAATTATAACGATGTAGCACACCCTGGACCCAACGACCTCGATTTCTGGTTCGAGGGGAACCTCTCATTGCCCCGAGGGCATGTTAACTAATTGTTAACCTTCTGGTTTGTGTTTCGCATATTAAATAGGAGAACAACGAACTTCCAACAGAGGAAATTGCAGCATTAAATTAATTGAACGGCCAGGAAGTAGATCCTTACGAGTGATAAGTATCGACTGGAAATATATTAATTTAATGAGGTTTTACGAAGGCCAGTTGTGTGTTAGGAAGTTGTGTTCTTTATTTGGAAGAGGAAGAAAGCCTGGCATCATAATGGCTGCCCTTGGGAGGATCGCTTTGAAAGCCAATTGTTTGTACATGGACTACAAATTTACTTAAAATCTTCGCTTAAATGAAGTAAGAAGGATATCAGAGGCTGGCATCATCGTCGCAGCTTTCTTCAGAGTCAAATTCGATGCCCCTAATGTGGGTTTCGGGTTCGTCAGCCAAAGTGGGAGGTCTAGTTTTGCTCGCCTTCTTCAGCTTGACACTGCCTGAGGATTTGTTCCCGAGTTCGAAACCCTTGAAACCATTTGTTTCTATTTTTTCACATTTCTTTTTCTTCGGTGTCACTGGTTTCTTGGACGAATTTGGTATATTAACGGTGGGGAGTCCCTCCTGATATTGCTGAAAAAAACCTTTTGGATCGTAGAGTTCCCCCTCCTCGCCCTGACCAGAAATGTACTTTCCCTCCGGCAGTAAGTCATCCTCAAAGACATGTCTATCAGGGATATCCGCATAGGCATCGCTGTCCTCAGACTCCTCGCTATAGTCAGTCTCGAGAATATCAGACTCCGAGCTTTCCATGCTTACTTTTCGATTCGCTTTCTTGGTTATCGGCCGAGGTTGAGATGGCTTTGACTCCGAATGTTTGATTGTGATGACTTTTCGCATGGGATCACTAGCAATAAGCTTTTGGTTGTTTTGAATCAATTTCTTGACTTTGACATCCATTGGGCTTGGCAGAACCTTAACCTTCTCCTTGGGTTTGGAGTTTTGTGAAACTGGACGTTGAACCTTCTGAGGCAGACTCGATTTCCAATCGCGCATCACCAGCTGAGCCAGAAGAGGAAGGTCCTTCGAGTCGGGTATGATAAACAGCCTCTCCTCCAGTTCACTGCGAATGGCAACATCATCCCCGGTCTCCATGCGAAACGTTTCCAGGGTGTGTCGGTAGCCAAACCAATTAAAGAATTCCATAATTAGTTGGTTAATTAGTTTGATCAGGCTCTGATCTCTGGGAGTTTTGTTTGATTTAGTGGCTTCGCCGGTGAGGAGATTAGGCTTGAGCATGTCCTGCTCACCCCTTAGCAGTTGAAGGATCTTCAAGTGCATTTCACTACGAATAGCCGCCATGGTTCCATTTTTCTCCAACTCTTTCTTGATGGTCTCCTCCATCATCTGCTCGTGGGCAGTCTCTCGATTTAGTTCATCAGAGTTCATCCTGCTTACCTCTTTCGATGGAAATTTTAGGAAATCAAATAATTTACTTCATAAATTTTAATTCAAAGTTTTTCTCGTGAGCGAATTGTGTGCGTTGAATTTGACTTTCGATACAGTTGTGGCTAGACTTGCTAGAAAAGTGTATTTGGCTGTCTATGCATAGCCTTCCTTATATATTTGAGAAGTCATTGGCTTGTGGCCAGGTTTTCTTGAAATGTCTGGAAAGTTTATTTCACTTTTTTCCCTTGGAAAACCACCTTTACTCGTTAATCATGCAGATAAACTTGAGGTCTGTGCATATATTAGCCATTAGTTGAGGTTAGTGAGTGAGGATTTTGACTTTGGAATTATGATTTTTTTGTAACTTGTTGAATTCGCTGTGGAATTTATTGTTTTATTTCTGTATTTATATTTATTTATTTAATTCAAGCTAAAACATCAATGTTTATGGAAATATATTATTAAATAATATATTTAAAGCCAACTAACTCTCAATCTGGCCACATTCCTGGAATGTCTGAGGTGTAATTAGGCCAAGTTCTTTACCTTTTCTGACTTCTATAATTTCCAAACTACATATCTGTAGATCTTTCTCATAACTACAACTTAAAGCTTCCTTCTTATTTCCGCCAAGACCCGCTTAATTAGCTGCAGCGCCTAATTAAACTCACCCTCGCGCCCAGGCAAACACACCTGAAGCTATATGGCTATATCTTTAAGTCGGTCGGAAGAGGGCGCCGCTATGCCCGGCTATATCAGCTACAAAATTTATTGCACTTAATGGAATTTAAAAGTTTGTTTGCCTGAGCAACTAGCGCGAATGGAAAATGGCGGAGTCGCCTCAAGAAGCTCTCTGTGTGTGTTTGTGTGTCTCTGAGGGTGAACTTGCTAGGGTCGGGTTGATATAATAAATTTAAATACTCAAACGATAATCAGGCAAATTAATAGTTGAAAAAGGAACAGAAAAAAAGAGTAAAAAATATACAAAAAAATATATATATGTATGTATATACAAAAACTTTATCAGGATCAACTTCTGGGTGTCTTTTTTTTTGGCCGGTGGATTTCCTTGCCTTTCGTTTAGTCCGTAGGTGCTGGAAAAAGTTTGTTCAGCAATTGAGCCAAAGAAATATTTAATAACTATTTTCTTGGCATTTTTTTCGGCCTTTCTGGATGAAAAAGTTCTCTTTGCATTTGCTTTTAATTTTTGTAATGGAATTGTTAAGAGCGGGCAGAGAGAAAGAGCGGGGTCTCGCTGATTTATAGCCAGTTGAAAGTTTTTTGTAAAAGAGAAAAAATATACATCGGTCGCATTCACTTTAAAGTTTTCCACTGGGCTCTTGTTTAAATATTCGTTCAACTAATTAGGAAAAGTGTTGCCAAAACAATGGGAAAAGCTGCGAAATCTTTAGATATACATATCTATATATTTAGCTCAATGCTGCGCCATTTCCGGTTTATCTTCCAAATAATTTTTGTTGGTCTAGCAAGGCAAAGCCAATTAGGCAAAATGGCTGCGACACATTTCCGCTGGTTTGCTGAGCCATATCCAGGCTGTTAAGTGATGCCGGGGCTAAGACCTGACCTGCCCTGACCTGACCCCAAAAGAGAATCGTACGTTGTACTGAAGAGAATATAGAGAAAGGTTGGGTTTACATGAATATATATATAATAAATTGTAATATGTATTAAAGACTAATTTAAAAATATATTTTATTAAAGGTGCAAATATAGAATCTACTTGCCTTTCAGCTATTTTTTTATTTACAAATATTTTAGAAAAGCTTCAGAATAAATGAAGTAAACAAATTACTCCATAATTTTCAATTCATTAATTAATTTATTTGTAATTTAAAGTTTAATTTAGTTTTATCTACAGTTTATTGATAATTATATAAATATGCTAACAATTTCTTTTAACAAATTTCATAAACTTTTTCAAAAAAATTACAATTAAAGAGTATTCAAAGTTTTCAAAATCCTTTAACGTTGCTTCCTTGCTGCTATTATCATTGTCCTTATTGTTGTTATTTGTGTCACACTTTCGCATTTCGCTAATCGCATTAATTATGCGATTCTCATTTGCTGCTGGGCCTCCGTTTCCGTTTCAGAGTATGAATCTGATTCTGGCCCTGGGATCCTCTGGCCGCCTGCAGGCAAAATGGCCAGCAAATTGAACAAAAGCAAACTGCAGGCAAAAGAGAGCGACTCCAAGGGATAGGGGCTTCATTTCAGGCATAATTGCCTCTCAAGGGAATTAAATTGAGCAAAGAATTTTGTGGCAGCAGCAGCAGCAGCAGCGTCCGCGACAACAAAAGATGAAGATGGGATTTTATTTCATTAATTATCAATTAGTTTTTGAAAGTTGTAGCGCGCAGATTTATTAAGTGGACCATGGACAAGTGCCTGGCATAACTTTTCCCGGCGAAATTTCTATCAAATTAATTAGCCGAAGTGTTTTGTGGATACAAATTGATGGGCGTGTGTGCCGCAAATTAATCAGTAATGAAGCGAAAAGTGCTGGCAGGCAAATTGTAAATAAATTAGTATTATTTTTCAGCTCTCAAGGCTCTCAATAATTAAGAAATGTTTTCTCAAAATCAATTTAGCTTAACTTGAGTTGCGGATGGCCAAGTCACCATTAATTATTCAAATTGGCTTTTAGATTTAAACTGATTTGGTTGTTGAGGAGAGAAAATATGATTTATTTAATCAAATTCAATATGATAAATAAATAAATAATAAATATTACATTTATTTAAAGCTATTTATGTGCTTTCTGATAGTCTTGATCATGGTCTCTGCTTGTGAGTTGGATGAGTCTCGCAGGAGCCCTATAACCTCAGAGATGCCGCCGCCGGGACGACCTCGTTGAGCCTTGGTGGACAACGCAAAAAGAACTCCGGCACAGGCACCTCTTTTGCCCTCCCAATTCTCCGGACTGGGATCGAGTCTGTCGATTTAATCATAAAAATATATGTCAAATAAATATGTATATATTAATCCTTAACTCACTTTTCCAGCATATCAAACGCCTTGGCTGCCACCCAGAACTCTGTGCACCTGTAGCACTCATTGGCAATCAGCTGCAGCAGGATGAATGCCTCTGCGTTTGTGTCCCTGGTGATGAACACATTCCAGGCCAACTCCGGATGACCGCAGTGTATGTGGCACTTGGCCAGGATCATGCAGTAGGCATGCTGATTCTTTATATCCATGTCGGTGATCTGCATAAGCAACTCCTCAGCCTCCTTGTAATATCCTGTGGCGCACTTGGCCTGGGCAAAGTTATAATTAAACACATCGTCGTTTACAAAGTAACTGCGTATGGAGTTCATGTAGACCAGAACCTCCTCGAACTGTTCGTAGAGGAAGAAGGCCGAGGCCATGCTCTGGCGACCCGGAATGGTGTCACATTCTGTGGCCGAGCTGCCCACCAAGTGGAGATTCTGCTGAGCTGTCTTGATGTGCTCTTTCTGCCAGGATAAAATGAATATTTCTCTATAAGAACATCTATTCAATATTATATATTTAGTTCCTTACCGATCCCAATTGTTGTCCAAGAGCAGCATGCACCACACCCTTTAGGATGTACTCGTGCGGCGATGTGGGCTGCAGTTCTTTCATGAGAGCATGTGCCTCCTGGACATCACCCTGCTTTAGGTAGTATATGGCCAGGTTCAGGCGGGCCTCGGGTATAATATTCAATAATCCTGGCAGGACGCGAAGGGCACCCTCGCCGTTCCGAAACACCACCAGATTGTGACGCAAAAGATCTGCTCCAAATGTCCCATTATCGGCTATGTTCTTGATCTCCTGCTCGGCAACTCGACCGTTGAACAAACGAAACCTATTGCAGGCCTTGAGGTTTAGGGCAATGGTGCTGTCGCCATGTTGACCGAGATACACGTCCAACACCTCCTGGGACATGTCATAGTAATCCAGTTTGTAAAAACACAATGCCAAGTAGACATTGATGGCCTGGTAGTCCTTATTATCCACCAGGACCCGCTTGTAGACATCAATGGCCTCCTGATAATGGGCACGCATATAGTGCATTGAGGCCAGGCTGAGCTGTTGCTCCAAGCTGGAGGAGTTTTGGAGCTCCTCTTGCAGCTGGCCCCAGTCCTCGTCGTTACCCAATTTATGGGCCAAATGGAACATCAGACGCTGCTTCAGCGGATTATCTGCTGCATTGGCCATCAGCAGTTGGGCCTCCTCGTATAAGCCCAGGTAGAACATGCAAACGGCCAGGTTGAGATCCAATTTGCCATCAGCGCCCGTGGAACTCTGCTGCAAGGTCTTGTATTGGCCGAGTGCCTGTTGATAATCACCCAGGTGGAAATTGCAGAAAGCAATCCATTGGTCCACCTGACGCTGCTTGACTCCGCGAGCAGTTTCCTCCTCATCCTCGTCGTCATTGGTGTACTAAAAATTGTTATATATGTTAGATTTTATATTTAAAGAAAGCTTTTTACTATTTTATTACATTTTAATATATAATCAGGGGAAAGTGTGCTGTGAATTTAAATTATTATTAAATTCCCTTTTAAATTTTCATTAAAGCTTTATATCTTTAAATTTTCTTCCACGTTTTCAAGCTAAACTAATCTCTATTTACCTCTAGAAAAGCCCTGGCACCCGTGTAGTCCCGCTTGATGATGAAATCCTCTAGGGAGGTCGGTGCTGGAGCCTTCCTTGCCTGCCGTCCAATGCCCAGTCCACTGCCAGTACCACCGCTGGCCGCGGTTCTTGAGCTCGCCGAGTCGGTTTTTCCACGTGAAAGTATCTGTGAAAGCGTCCAAGGTATCTCCGGTGTATATGACAACATTTCTCGGAATTTTTCTTACCATTTTACCACCGGCTTTCCTTTCCTAAGGATTTTTGCTCCTTACGCCTTGCTGGTTGTGCACGGTTTGGGCCTTGTGTTTTGCATTTTTTCTGTTTTCAAAGTAGGACGCTTGGTTACGGTCGCTTGGCAACCTACTATATAGCGTCGATAAAGCAGTTCAATCATGCCTCACTGCGCACAATAAGCGCCCTTAAGGATCTGTAGCTCCAGCTGTAGCTGTAACTGTAACTTTATCCTTAACGGAAACCAACTGTTGATCCTTGAAATGGGGTCACCCTTAATTCTTGGCATATTCTTGGCGCTTGTCTTGCTGATGTCAGCGAATGTCTTTGTGTGTATGTGGCTTTAGAGTCTAAAGTTTAGACCCTTCCTATTTTGTACTTCGGTGGGGTTATGTTGATTTTAATATTTGGCTTGGTAAGTTTACAAAAAAACTACAAAAAATAAATTTAAACTCTTTTTTATTTACAATATAAAACGTTATAGTATTGCTTTGGTCACAAGTTAAATGAATATGAAAAGCGTTAAAGCAGAAAGAGTATTCGCTGGCCGTTTTTTGTTTGGTAAAACTATCCAATCCATCCACCTTTTCCGCGTGTCTTGCGTAGGTCAGCTTGTGGCTCACATCTATGGGGACGAGGTATTCACAGATAGCTGTCGCCTTATGGAACGCATTGTTGACACAGTTTCGCCATCCTGTTGCTGGAAATGATGCTGCTCTTGCATTTGCATTTTACCATTTTCTTTATTTATAAGACGCACACAAATCATAAATATGCAGGCAGCCAGCCTCCGGGTAGAAAATGCATGCGTCAATCCGGACGCCTCTAGGTGTGTGCAATACTTTAGGAATTCTCTTATTTTTCTTCTCTCGGTTCTCGACACTGCATAATAGCTCACACGCATACATCACACACGAGTGATAGACGTGGCTAAGGAATTTTGTTATTCCAGAGAAAATTCGTATGCCATCAAGTGGAAAAATAAGTGGAAAAACAACAAGAATCGAAGTTAAATCTTTCGAAAATTTAAATAGTGCCTGAAAATGGTTTGCTCAAGTCTATGGTAAAGTTCTTATGATATATCGTGATACACTTGAATTAAAATCACCAAAGAAATGTACATTGCAACCGCAAGAAGAGAGCATAAACAAAAAAGGGACACCGAAACCAATTGAATATAAAAATGGAGATAAGAGACGAACAACAATCTGTGCGGTGCCTACAATAAAACCAGATAAAGCATAATGCCAAACGCCAACAACATGGCAAACAAATTTACTTTCAAGTTGAAACATACCCCTCTTTTCCCCTCTATTTCTATTGCCATCTCTGCCTGCTAGTCTCATTCGGTGCGCGCGCCTTTGTTTATGCTACACTTTATTGCGCTTTTGCAATTTCGCGTTTCCGTTTCCCGTCAAATCAGCCATAAAAAACGTAACGAAAGCACAGCAAATCTGGGAGTCACGACCCCGCCCAGCTGGATGCTACTGGTTCTGGTCTTGGTCCTGGTCCTGCTCCTTGAAGGCGCCTATTACATTTCGCAGTTGAATAAACAATGCCAACATCATTTGCACCTCCTTCATTATGGGCTTGCCTCGTTATTTGTCAAACAAATAAACAGCAGGCAATGGCTGCTTGGGATCTTTGGACGGCCGGGATGCCAGTCACTGTTACGTGCAATTGTCTCTGGCTTGGGCCCATGATTTTCCATCATTATCATGGGAGAGCTGTGTTCGTGTTTACAATTTTTCCCTCGCTCTTTTTTTCCCATCGTGACAATTTATTGTCATCTTCTTCTTGACGCTGAGTGTCGCCCACTCTTCTCACGCTCCCTTTTTTTTTTGTTTTGTTTATACACTTTCGAATTTGCATTGCCTTCTGTTTTCTGCTTTATACTATCTTTTAGCAGTTCCAAGGGTATATGGGTTTCACATACATAATGTGCAACATGCAAGGATTGTAAACATTTTTTTGAACTGAAATGATATTTATTGTCTACTAAATTGTTATTTTTATTTGTCTCTGATATTTAAGATATCCAAATAAAAATCTTTCAGAAGAAGTATAGCATTCAGATATAAACAAATACACTCATATGGTATACACATTTATGTAGAAATTTTACGACTTTTTGCTTGAATTTCTTCCACAAATAGTACTGGGTATCTTATAGTCGACTTACCCACACTTTCTTCGTTTTCTTCACACTGTATTTTTTCTGAAGAAAATTGCGAACTTGCGAAATGAAGTGCAAAATTCAAACGGAAATTGAAATGGCAATGACAGAGTCGACTTGAGTTGAGTTTGTTTCTCCTCTTCGCTTCCTTTCTTTTTTACTGGGTGTTATTTTTTTTTTGGTATTTTGTTTTTGTGGAAGGCCTGGACATTGGGCTTTATCCCTGGCTCCTTGGGCACATGTTGCCTGCAGTTGCATATATAAATATATCCTCAAAATAAAGTTGGGGAAAATGGCGATTTCCTCAAGCGTAAACTAAACACTTGAAATGTGAAAATAAATAAAAATCGACATCTTGGCGAATTTATTGGTCATGATGATGGCTGCTCCTAGAAAGCTTGGGCTAAGCACAAATGTTGAATATCACTGGAGCGTGCATAATAATGGGCCACTGAACTTTTGCGATTCCAAATTGGGTTCTGGTCAAGGGTGAACGACGGAGTGAAATGAACTTCAACTTTTCCAAATTGACGGAACTTGCACCGGATTGTTTTCGAGTGGGGGGAACTACATACATATATGGATTTTCCCATCAGTGGTTTGTGCCTGATTTTTAGCCTTGAATGCACAGGCCAAAATATCAAAACAGAGATCCACTTTCGCTGACCAAAATAAATTCGTTAGTCCGACTGAGAGGGAAAACGCAAACAGAAAGCATCGCAAAACACCGAATTCAGCACACATATATATGCAAAGAAATCAGGAAACTGTTGTTTGCAATTAGAAGCAAATAAACTAAATTGTTTCGCGGTCGGCAGTTTTTGGCCAAACGCCACACATTTTCAAATTTTTGGTTTTCGCGCACATCGAACATCGTTCGCTCTTCGCTGTTGTGGCAATTGCATTATTGGTAAATGTGTGAAATGTTTTTGGCTGATTTTCTCTCGCTCTTATTCTCTTGACGGGAAATTCAACGCGATTTGGCGAATTTACATATTTTAATTAAAACATAAATTTTGCGTTTTAGCCAGCCGGCTGAATATCGGTGGCGTGCAAAAAGCCAGAGAGGATTTTCGAGAGCTGTGGCCCCAAATGATTAGTAGTGATGCCGCAGAGTGGCAGCCGTGATTTGATTTGGAATTGTTTAGTGTTTAGTTTTCAAGCGATTTTAAGTAGATTTATAAATTTAATTTTTGGGATCTTGAAGAAGTTGCTAATAAAATCTTTTTAAATATTTATTGATATATAAAAATATATATATTATATATTTACATTTTTAATTGTTAATTTTAGTTTGAATAATAAGTATATGAAATTTTACAATTATGTTTTTTTATTTTATTTCTTAAAACCCTTCTCAAAGTCACTCTTTCCCACAGGACATTTACAGATTCCCTTCTCTTTGGAACCTCTATTACTGGTTATTCTGGTGGCTCATCTCTTTGAGTCGTTCGATGTTTTTGCATGCCTTTGGTTATTTTTTATAAATATTTCAACAGCCGCACGCACATCACTGCACAGCCTCCCACACTAGCACAGGGAGCGGAGCGGCACATGGATAGCGCATAGTTTACTATCTACTAAATATTTAAGCGCAGCGTCAGATCGTAAAAGCAAAATGTATGCAAAGTGCATGTCGAGCAGCAATCGAGGTGAGTTGTAAAAAAACCGAGGCGAGTAACGGCAAGTATAAAGGCAAACATGAAAGAAGTATGAAGTCGAATGGACACAACTACTGAATACCGGGTCTTAAAGAAATTTCATACTTTTCAGTGAATTACAAAAGACTAGTAATAATTATAAAAAAATATTTACAAGGATTCAAATCACAGAAAAATAATCTATTCAATTTATTATTAGAACAGGAACCTTTTACTTTTTACATATTTGTATGCTAGATCGGTTCGGCTGATGATGAAAACACAAACCTGTATTTTCTCTTCAAGGAGTAGGATTTCTTTCTGCTACATCACACGCCCAATATACCCTTGTTATCTACAAGTAAGAGGTATACAGCCGTTAGAAAAGGGTAAAAGTTCAAATAAATAAAAGCAGACAGGGCAAGGAGCCATGGCGAAATGCTACAATATTGAATAAAGTTAGTACCTGGGGGTATGTTGCGGCTCATATCGCATATAGTGTTTGTACTATGCTCAATTTTTAACTCCAACACGTTTTAGCCACACTGATAGGGATATGTACATGAATCTTTAATGAATGAAAATCTTTTCTGTTCAACTTTGTCGGATCTACTTTACTGGAACTGACAAGGTTTAGGTTAGTGATTGTAATCTTTAAAAAAGTTCAAAATATTTTGGTGGTTTTTCGAGTTTAAGGGCATTATTACGGTTTCTCTTAGTTACACGCATAAACTTTCCATAGTTTTTCCTTGAACATCTCTCTATCTCCCTTGGAGTAACGTAGTCCGTAGTTTCCACTGCAACTTTCAAATTAACGCTTATCGGAACGATAGTCTTGCAGCGCCAAGTTACGCATCGATGCCAATGCAAACACGGCACATGGCAGAGGGACAAAATTTCTTAATTTCAGCCAGGGAATACCCACTGCCACCTCATCCTCCGCTTTTCCATGCCCGCACCCGATGCCTGTGCGTTGGCAAATAAAAGCAGGAAAGTGCCAAAGCCGCAATGTGTCTGGCTCCGGGTTCCTGGCCCATGTTCCTGGCATCCTCGAACATACATGGATGCATGCATATATGGCCAACATGTCTTGTGCCTCTCCACTCTATGCGGCCACGCCCACACAATCAGGCGCCCATTTATGCACTAATTAAAATTTTATCGTTAAATCTTGTTTGCATGCATTGCTACAAGCGGGCAGATTGCACCATTGCTCCTCGCTGGCATATCCCCCGCCGCCGCCGAATGCATGCAATGTGAACAGTTTTCGTTGAAAATGTTTGGCAACAGTTATTTGCACTTCCCGATTCCCGGCATCCAGCCAGCCACGCCCATTTTCAGGAGGGAGGAAGGGGATCGGAAGGCTAGACCATAGGATTTTCATAGCGCTTAATGCCCGGCACAAGCATTTTCATATTTTATTTGGCACTAGTCGATGCCAGAGATCTAGTGGCTTTCGATAAGTGGCCCTACACTGGGAAAATTTCTGTTTATAAAATGTAAAAAAGAAACGTGACTTATTTTAACTTAGTTTAATTAAAAAAAATTGACAATTAAATCATATTTGTGCTAAAATCAAGAATAGAAACGATGTAGTACCATTTTCTTTTAAACTTTCAAAGAATTTAAATATTGTTTTATATTTACCCAGTGCATTTCAAGTGTTTAAGAATCTGATTTTATTTGACCTTCGATGGCAAATGTGAATCGCATTTGTGGGAGTTAGATAGCTTTTCGAAATCACTGTCGCTGTCATTTTGTCAAACATTTTTCAATTACACCTCATCTCGCGCTTGCTCAACAACAACAAGAGCAACTACATAAAACCGAAATTCAATTTCGAAATGCTGAAACCAAAATCCAAAAAGTCGTACAACTTTTTCGTTTGCCGCTCCACTCGCTGTGTCAACTTTTTTAATTTAATATATACAGTGCGTATGCGTAATTTTTGTGGCTTTAAGCGGCAGCTGCTGCCGCTGCTGTGCCTCTGAGTGCTGTGCTGTGCTGTGTGCATGAATTTTTGGAAGCGTGAGTGTGGTTAGGTTGGGAAAAGAAGCAAAAAATTTAATTAAAACGTTGCATAAATGAAATTCAAATTCGAAATTGCAAGCAAAATGAATAATTGAATGGACCATGGCAGTTGACTAGCTGCTGCGACTGATGTTTTTAGTTAATTTTTGTCAGCGCGCGGTCTCGCGTTCAGACTGACACGCCTCAATTGGTTTGATAACAGTGGTTAGCATACAAATTGGAAAAATACATATACTATATATCTAAATAAATTAATTCTTGTATAGACTTTATACTAAAATTTCAAATTGGAAAATATTATACACTTTTTGGGTCATCAATTGTGACTTAAAAACTTAGAATGAAATTACAATTGACTAAATTAAATTGTTTATTATATAAAATATTTTTAATAAGTGTTTAAATAACACAAAAAAATATATATTTCTTTATAAAATTCATGAAAAATTCATTTCGCAGCCACTGTATCTGTAACTGTTTCCTGTTACTGTTTATTTTCTAGTCAGTAAACAAATCAACCGCAAAACAAATTACTAATTTAATTTTCATTGCATTCAAACGAATATTAAAGCTTTACTTGTTTCCCTTCTTGTTTTGTATAGCACAATATAAAATCGGATAAAATAAATTTACTCTACCATGTGAATATTTCTTGTGTTGTTGGTAATATTTTTGTTTTGTTTTGTTTTTTTTTATAAATCTCTTTTATGGCTGGGCGCAAATGTCCCAGAGATGTTATTTTTTTATTTTTATTTTATGTACTTTAGAGATCAGCATTATCACGCCCACAAGAAAGTCCAGAAATAAAACAAATTAAGATATGATTGTAGTTTCGAAGACGTTAAGATTCCCTTTGCCAATTGTAGGTTTCGTATTAACCAAATAAAATTAAAGGAAAATAAATGAAAAGGAAATATGAAATATCTTATTTTAAAATATTATTAGAGCTAATTTATTTATCTTAAGATCAACTTCCTTCAACTTTTTGGATAGTACTTTAAATATATTAATCTTAAATATTTATATTGCCATTTTAAATATATTTTCTTGAATAGATAAACCCGTTTGACATTTACCACAATGTTTATGAAAATTAAATGCCCTTTGTAAGCGTACACAAAATGACGACAAACTTATTTATTACCTTTGTTTAGACTTTATATGACACGACGTTGCCTCTGTTGAAGGCACTTGAGCAAATGGCATTAGCATTGTCCTTGCTGCCATCGTTCCCTGCCGACTCCGCCTTCCTTCATCCCTCTCGTCTTCTTGAAAGTCTGAACAAGTTTCTTATCGCGGCAAAATGTTATTTTTTCTCGGTTGGGTTTACTTTGCGCTTGATTTGTTTTCGTTAGTTTGTGTTTGTGTGTGCGCTTTGCGAAAATTCTGCTTTATTCTATGGAAATTTCGCCTTTCCTTGGTTCCATTAGCCTTTCGGCATAAGTGAGTATGCGATATGTGGAAAGAGACTTGACTTGGCCAAAAGCGCAGGCGGCGTAAAGTGTGGAAGCTCCCAGGCTGGGGAGTTAATTTCCCAGAACTTTTGATTGCTCAATTTGGGAGGCTCCAAAGATTTTACATATTAAAGTGGGGACTTGAACACAAATCGGATTGGGATTTTTCAGTGATTTTGGTTATGCCAAAGAGAGAGATCTTATATGATGGATTAAAACTTTACACTTTATCTTCATATTATATTAAATGAATTATATCCCTTTCTCTACCTGTCAATCTTGTTAGTTGAGCATAAGAAATCAAATTTATTGTGAGATTTAGTACTGAATTAAAGTAAATATGTGCGAGATAAAGAAGAATTTCGTGTCGCACGATCTGGTGCACAATCTGAAGTGCGCTGCACGTGCCCCAAAAGTTGTAAGCACTATATCCACATTCCCTGGCCACTATAAATATATCCTTTGGATTACCTGCTCCCCTATTTAGAGGCACAGTATGCAGGCGACCAAGACCTGGCCCGGAGCCCGTTTCATGTGCGTTGGCCAAAACGGGGATCTGAACACGGCAGCCTACTGTTTGGCGGAGCTAATGCACGAGCCCTTCCAGCCCTTTCCTATGGCCACGGTGGTAGTACACAAGTCGATCCGAGATGACTTTATTGCGAGGTTACGCAGTCGCTTTCGGCAGGTGAAGCCGCATGTGGCCAACCATCCGAACTTTGAGCGATCGCTGAATGAGCTGCAACACGGTTTGAGACCGTACCAATATGTTGTGGCCGACGTGGCCGATGCTCCACCCTGTGCCAGTCCCATTTTGGTCACAGGCAACGATACCCACTTGATATTTCCCAGCGGCGCCAGTGGGACCACCACTCTGCATACATTCGAAACCATGACCGAAGTTGCCCTGATATTTTCTAAGGAGACACCGCCCTTCGAGGCGGTGTACTTTTTCGACGAGGGCGTTACGGATGTCTATACCCTGGCGCCGCTCATCAAGTGCGTGCAGTTCTTTGTAAACTGCATGGATGCCTGCCTGGTGGAGATTATGCCTCACTACATGGAGCACAATCCCATGGCGATCTATAAGCGGGGCTATCATTACGAGACGCTCGAGATGGGTCACCAGTGGAAGATCATAGTTTTTCCCTACAGTTCGGCCATCCTGCGGCAATGCTGCTGCCCCACCGGCCATTGTCGCTGCTATGCCACCCATGCAGCCTGCTGTGAGGACCATATGAACGCTTAAGCGCTGGAGCATCCTCTCTTTCTCTGAAAAGTTCGAGTCGTAACTCCGTCTTGGCACAGGAAAACTCGACTTCCTCCGTCTGCTGCTCTGTCGGCGGGAAATTCTTCGACTGTCTGCGTCGTCCCAGAAATCCGCAGTTCCAATGAGTAGTTTGCGACTGGCAACACATGTGAGCCATAATTTTCGCGCTAGTTGGCTCTTGGATTGCTAGTAAAGTGGTTATTCGCCAAGTGGGAAATTATTTCTCTTAACTTGTAATATTTAAGGGCATTTTACGTAAATTTATTTGACAGAGAAGCTAACCTAAAAATATATTGATAAATGAAATAAAATTTTAAATGAATAAAGTGTAAATATGATAACTAAATGATATTTTCTGGAAAAGTTCTTGCTTTCGAATCTCCTCTGTACCTGCAGCAAAAATAATTTTGGCTGTATTTATCAAGCCATGTCCCCCCGGTCCCAGGCCTTCGACTTTTGGCCAACCGCTAGCAGGATGTCGCCGACTGTTGGCTTTTAATAAAACTTGCACACAGCCGCCAAGTAAGTATTTGCCTTGGCCTTGCCGAAAAAGAACTTGAAGGAACTGAGATCTGGGTGCTGGTGGGAAGTCGGAGGAGGACCAAACTCCTAAACCGACACAAGTCTGGCAGCCATTAGTTGCGGCTGCTGATGCGGCAGCTTGTCGCCGAGGCATTGACTTCTCTCGGTTGCCGCCGAGTAGTTGTTGGGCTTTTATGTGCCAACTTGTTAATGAGTTTGCCGGGATGCGATGAGGACTCCTTGATTCCCCCACCAGCATTCAATCTGATCCGTCAAGGAGCGGCCTATATGCTGCACTTACTTACTTACCTTCTGGAATTTGGCAATGAAAAGCAAAAATACTGCAATCACCGGAATCTGTCTGTCCCTCAGTCTGGAATGTATCTCCATCTGCTGCACTCGTTTGTCTGACTGCCTGAGTAACTGTTTATTTGTCAGAGCTGTCTGCCATTTTGATTTGCAGTCTGACATATTTTGGCCGCACTTCAGCATTTTGACGGCCTTCGTTGGCAATGAAAAATTGCAATGGGAAAATGATGTTGCACATTAATATTTTATCCGCTGAAAGTGACTTTGTTTGTTTCAGTTGCTGCTAGGAATTTGCAATCGCAACATCACAATATTATAATAAATTCGTTTAAGTATAAATTCAAATTTGCAATCAATTTGGCCTCAGTGAAGCGAAAAACGCTCTGTTTAAGTATGTCCCGAGGCATAAATTAGGGACAGGGGCAACCAGCAACTCGGTGGTCGTACATGGGTATTCATGCAAATATACAAACTCTACAACCCAAATAACAAAGTGACCATAATGTTCATAAAATGGAACAACAATCACCTAAAACCGCTGCCAGCATACAATGCGAGGCAAAACAAAGCAATTTCGACCAAATGTCTCTCAAAATGACCGCAACAATTTGAAAAACATTACCCATACGCCGCGTATGACACGGAAATGCGAGGCAGATGGGCAACCAAAAAGGGAGGCGGTGGGGTTGGGCTGGCGGTTGAGAAACCTAAAAACCAACTCGACCATGGAGCGCAGTGTATTTTCAACACCTGCTGGTCAAACAAATCGTGTTCATTTCGGTACAAACACTAATTTCGACAAGGTGCAAACAAGCTGGCGACGAGAGACGGCGGACCAGGGAACGGTAGCACCTAAGGGCTGGGTTTGGCCCGAATAGGAACAAGCCTGAAACACAAACACAATGGAGGAAATTCTGTCCAGGGAATAGGGAGCAGACACATGGATGTCACGTGCAGTGACTACTGCCACGCTCCGGTCTACCTTTGGCAGGAATACATTAGGAGAAATATATAATTTCAATAGTTTTATAAATAAAAGTGTAAATTTATAGTTTTTTTTTGCAGTTTAGGAGAATTTTAGGAAATGGTATGGTAAGTTAATCTTTTCATTTATATTAGAAAATATGTAGAATTGAAGTAGTAGTAGAAAAAAATAAGAATATTAAATGTTTCTTCTTCAACTTGCAATGCAAATTTTACAAAAAAAATGAGTTTCTAATATTCCTCACATATTTTTCAGAGTGTATCAAACTTTGGAGTTGCAGTCCCGGAGTTTGGAGTCTGCGTTTTGAGCCCGGGCCTGGCGTCGACAGATAAAATGCTTTTTGTGAAAAATGTAAAATTGCATTTGTAACCGCATTTCATTAGAGGAAGAAAGTCAACCGTCAGGTAGCAGACAACACGCACGTTTCCATAGATGGAGCTAGGAGCTGGATGGAGCTAAGGGGGTGCATGGGGGACTGTCGGTAAAAATGGCAACAAAGTTCGCATCCGCGCCGGCGAAACGAGCGTCACGGTCAATGGTGGATACAACGAGACAAAACTTGGCCCACACAGTCTATCCCACACACCATTCCAATGGAAGCATGGAAAGCAAACTATTCCGGCGAAGTGTCGAGTGTCGGGCTGTATTTTGCCATTTTTGTGTGTCCCGGCGAGGACATAAACAGGGATTCTGTCTGTGATGCAACTCCGGTGCCGTATCTGTGTCTACATCTGTTCCTGCCCCACTCATTGTCTGCTTGTTTAGGCCTTTAAATGTCCTGACAGGATTGTTGATGGCAAACTGGGCTATCGATATGTGAACAACGTCTGGGCTATAAATGAATAATGGTTGAGTGTTGAGGAAAGAAATGATGGAACATTTAAAGCAATCGTCTTGGGGAAATAGATCTAGAGTTTTAAATATAAAAAATAAATTCCATAAAATTTATTAACACTCATATAGAAGTTCATCCAATATCTTATTAAAATAACACCACCATGCGTAAGCATTCTTTATAAAATTTGCCTTTCGTATGAAGCCTGCTATGAAATTCTTTAAAGAACACAGTACATCGGGCAACTGCATGAGGGCTTCAACAACTTCGGTGATGCTGACACAGCGATAGATCACGAGGAGACCCATGATGACCAGGGCGGGCAGGGTGAGAGCCTTTACAATGCGAGCCATAAAGAGAAGGACATAGCTTATGACAATTATGACTAAAATAGTGGCGATAATCCGTCCAGTTTCACCGGGTTTGACTTCAGTCGCCTTGCTCCACTCGTCCAGGCTTTCAAGAAGTGAAAGGGCATCGTCCATTATTTTTACTGTGAATTTTAGCTTTCTGTTTCCTTTTCAATATTTACAATTTAGAAGAGAACTGACAGTTTTTTGGAAATGTTTTGACAGTCTAAACTTCTACATTAATTACATTTTTAATTCTAGAATTTTAGCTTATTAAAAAGCTTCTACCCGTCTTCAAATATTTATTATTGAGCTTAATTATTTCCCTCAGTGCTGTCAAAGAAAAACAACAAACTTAAAGCTACAAATGGGTAGCTGTGAAATCTAAATGGCGCTCTTGATGTCAACGGCAGCATTTTTGGCTGCCGAACCGTGTCCTGACAACTTGACAAATGAATGATCGGGCCGCAGTCTCCGCACCGCAGAGCGGCCAACCTCAGGCAGCAGACATTGGGCTGCGGACTGGGGGACACTGGATGATACCGGAGAACAGGACAGAGCTGACGCGTCGACAAACCGCAAAAAGCGAAACGGCAATCGACCGACAACAGCTCCAACAAAGGGCAAAAATGAACCCGACAATTTCTCTGCCACCAGCAAAACCGCCATTGCAACAATCAGGGAAAGCACCGTTTACCAATACGGGAGGAGAAGTTCCAGGAGGAAAAACAGGAGAAGCACCAACAGTAGACAGGGCGGAGCAGAAGCCATTCCAGCACGGTCGGTGTCTGTGCATAAATTCCATCATATGATATCAATTAGTGATAGTGCGGTGCGACTGAAATGTCATTTGCAAAAATGCGCATATTTTAAATGTGACACACACAGGGCCAGGACCTTCTCCTGATATCCTCGCTAACGGAGCGAGAGTTATTTTGATGCTCTCTATGCGGATCCGGCATGTTTGGTGTGAGCCAAGATTCATTAAAAAGGTATTTATATTTGTAATCAGAAGATGATTTGAAACTAAGATTAATATTATTTGTATGATATTAAGAAACACATTTTAAAATTTAATAAATTTCACAAAGTACTTAAGACTAACAGTAAACATAAATTTATTACTTTACTTTATTATCTAAATTCTAAATAATAAAACCTTGGCAATTACTTCGCTTCGTTCAGCAAGGGTATATATCCAAAAGGGCATCCATCTGTCGTCCTCTCTTGGCCATAATTGACCGGCTTGATTTCGCTTTTTTCGCATCGCTCATGGAGACCATAAAAACCAAACAGAAAATGGCCAAACGGAGCAGGCCTGCTGCCACATAAAAATCAGCTCGCCCGCATCAACTGCACGGCGATGGCAACAATGGGCCATCTGAGGGTGGCGGCGGCGGCGGTGGCGGTGGCGTATGAATATGCAACGAAGCCGCCGATGATGACCACAGTGATGGGGGGCAGAACATCAGCCCGGGAAAATGTCCAAATGGATTCGGGATCGGGGAACCGGGAACCGGGAAAAAGAGGCCTGCAACGGATATGCATGCAGGTGCAATCTCAAACAGAACTTACCGCAAAAACAGGAAACGGATGGGGCGGGGAAGACATGTCAACGTAACCAGAAAACGGATGGCCAAGGCCAGGCCTATAAAACTGCAGCCAAGTGCAGCTGATGCAAAACGACGATTTGGTGAGGAGCACCACACCCACGAAACACAAATTGCATTTTCAGTTTTTTATCTCAGCTGAGACCTTTCAGGGAAATTTAATTTGATTTTTCCTCGTCCCTTTTCCTGGCCAACCATCAGCCATCCAGAGCTTTTATTTGTTGGTTTATTGGCACTGGCAATGGAAAATTAATGCCAGCGCAAATGTGAAAATATGCCAAATTGTTGTTTTGCCCTTTGACATTTTTGCGGCTGCCTCCTGGAAATGTTTGGTGGCGGCGGCAAGTGAACTCTGACTGAGTGGATAAGCCAAGCTGGAAATTGCTTTTACCGGATTTTTGTGGCTTTTGTTTGCCGGATTTCGAGTAAATTAAATTATAACTACACTTAACGAGGCCAATAATCCTTTTGAAAATTAGATTTCCTTTCAATTTGCTTAATATTTTGTGTGTTTACCTTTAAGAGTAAGCTCAAGCGTTAAATGGTTTTCCTGGTTGACCTTCAACCTGGCGGCTTCACCGATTCTCTTTACAAACAGTTTCCAAGGATGCAATTATCCTTAGTGCGAAAGGGCATTACCTTGTTGTATGTATATTTTTTTAATTTGTTTTTTATTTCGAATTCTGTAGTATATATATTTTATATACAAATTTGTATTTTGCAACGGATGAAGGTTGATTTTTGCAGAAAAAGAAAATAAGCTTCGGGGCATTTTTATTGGGCGGCTCAATATTAAGCGGTGCCTGCTTTTCATTTTCAGCATTTTGTGGATAAAAGATACAAAAGTTATTTTACAAGGACGAAAATGGAATAAATCAATATGGAACATTATCATTATCGTATTTGTATACAATTTATTAATTGTTTAATATAATAATTAAATTCAAATATTTATTCATTAAATGAGTTAAATGTTTCTCTTTCACATTTACGTTAGTGTGTATTAACGACATTCAAAAAACCTAGAAAGTGGAAATGGGACGTAACAATCGATCTTTGCGATCGTTATCGGTATCGAATTTCAGCCCTCGCTTGCATAGTAACAATTTGCAGAAAAAAAACAGAAACTTCGACCTTTTAAGCAACGGAAAAGCTACACTCTTTTTGCTTTTGTTGTTTTGGTGGCTGAACTCCACATTGACGCCATGGAGTATCAAGGCAATAATGGCAAGTAATAGAACTTCATACAACGAACTTTAAGGTCTAATTGTCTGCGTCCATCCAGAACCTGCCGAAACCATCGAGGAACGTGTGATCAACGAGGAATACAAGATTTGGAAGAAGAACACGCCCTATCTCTACGACCTGATCATGACGCACGTCCTGGACTGGCCCTCGCTGACCGCTCAGTGGCTGCCGGATGTGGTCAAGCAGGATAATTCGAAATACTCAGTGCATCGCCTTATCCTGGGCACACATGCATTCGAAGAACAAAATCATCTGCTTATCGTCAGCTTGCAGCTGCCCAATGAGGAGGCCTCATTCGCTGAATTGAACTACGACGACAAGAACGGCCAGATCGGCGGTTTTGGATCTATGTTTGCCAAGATGGAAGTCGAAATCGCGATTTACCAAGAAGGGGAGGTGAACCGCGCACGCTACATGCCTCAGAATACTTGTGTGATTGCCACCAAGTCGCCGCTCAGCGATGTCTTGGTGTTTGACTATTCGAAGCATCCCAGCAAGCCGGAGCCATCTAAAGAATGCAAGCCAGAGTTGCGACTGCGCGGCCACAAGAAGGAAGGCTTCGGTCTCTCCTGGAATCCCCAATGCAGTGGTAAGTGTTTTTTATATGCGGTTTGCAATGCAATACACAATTATTGCTTTATTTGCAGGTCACTTGCTTTCCGCTTCCGAAGACCAAACCATATGTTTATGGGACATCAATGCCACGTCCAAAGAAAACCAGGTCATTGATGCCATGAACATCTTCACCGGGCACACAGCTGCCGTCGAGGATGTGGCCTGGCATGAGTTTCACGAGTCGCTCTTTGGCTCGGTGAGCAGCGATCGCAAACTTGTGATTTGGGATACCCGCAAAGGAGACACTTCAAAACCATGTTTCACCGTGGATGCCCACACGGCTGAGGTGAACTGCTTGAGCTTCAATCCCTATTCGCAGTTCACACTGGTGTCCGGTTCCGCCGACAAGACAGTTGCACTTTGGGACTTGCGCAATCTAAAGCAACGACTGCATTCCTTTGAGTCCCATAAAGGCGAAATATACCAGGTGCAGTGGTCACCGCACAATGAGACTATATTCGCCTCCTCTGGCAGTGACCGACGTCTGCATGTCTGGGATCTGTCCAAAATTGGTGAGCAGCAGGATGCACAGGATGCCGAAGACGGGCCGCCCGAACTGCTCTTTATTCACGCCGGTCATACGGCCAAGATAAGTGACTTTGCTTGGAATAACAGTGAACCTTGGATTATCTCTTCGGTGGCCGAGGATAATATTCTGCAAGTTTGGCAGATGTCTGAATGTATCTACAACGACAATGAATCTGACAAAGATGAGTAAAGTATTCATTTCCGAAGCCATAACTACATGTATTCTAATAGAAGATGAAGATATATTGATTAGATTCTAAATTTAAGCTCTGAAGATGAAGTATCATTACCTCATAAATAAGGATAAATATGGTTATTCATTTCGTAATCCTATGATTTAAAAAACGAAAGTATTCAAAGAATTTTAAACTGAACAGAATTTAAAGTTGCTTTTCATTTCAAGCTTCCATTGCAACGCAATCGACAGATCGACTTTTATTCGCAATCGGGAAAGTGGAAATACAAAGAGCGGGAACATTTGTAATTTGTATTTTTCGTGCTGACATTTGTATGGTCGAGTTTTCAATTGAAATGCGAGAAATTAATCAGCCATGGCTTAGGGCCAATGCCACTTGCCAATAGCTTATTGGCGACACATTGCCAATGCAGCCGAGGTTTCCATTCCATTCAAATCCCAATCAATTGGCAATAAAATTGAAATTAACTTGCCACAAAGGCATAAATGCTTCTGCTCCTGTTACCACCCCCCCATGCCTCATTCTCCCCACTCTCCCCCTTTGACACAAACTTAATTTGCAGCAAAAATACAAAAAAAAAAGGCAAGAAAAAGGTGAAAAATAAAATTGAAAGAGGAAAAAATTCTAGCAGAAAAAAATGCTGGTTGATTGCTCAAGGGAGATGGGGCAGGGTTGAGGGTACCTACCGATTGTGGCTGTGTTGGCTGGAAGACTTTAAGCCACAGGTAGAAGCAAAACAGTTGATGAAGTTTTCGTTCAAAGAAGCAGTAGCAAAAAATAGAAATGAACGAAAGAAAATCCAGAAGAAAAAATGAAAACTACCACCCCACACACTCACACTCGCCAAACGAAATAAATTGAAAATCGAGTGAGTAGCGGCAACAAACACACTTGCCAGGATTGTCAACTGCATGGATAAAAAAAACGAAAAAAAAACAAATAAAAAACAAAATAACAAAAATATCCAAACTCTTGGCTATGTGGTTGCTGGGTGTGGGAAAACAAGAAACAAAGAAAAAATGAAGAACAGAAAATAAAAGACAAATCTAAGCTTTGGCATTCCTCGTGCTTAACAGCAAAAGTTTTTCCATTATTTGAAGATTATAGACTCTAAACATTCGTCCCCCTCCCAAAAAAACTTGACAAGGTATGAGGGTGAGCATGGCCAGAGTGAGGTGGCAGGGCTTAAAAAAGGGAAGATTTTCCATCCCAACTTCCCCTTCTTCCGCATCATTGTTGCTCCTGATGATGACGTAGCTGAAAATGCTCCACACTTTTATGACAGCCACCGATAAGAAGTGAGGCGAGGACAGGGGAAAAACTCGGAAGTAAAAGATAGATGTTAAACTTTTCCAGCAATGCATTCGCATGGCTTTGTTTCAGTCCATACCTCCCTCCCTGCTACACGGGATGTCCTTTCGCCCTTCTGTCAAACGTCAATTGCTGTTCGTAGCAGCATATGCTGATTATTATTGTCTTTTCTGTAGCTGTTGCTGAATTTTGCCAGCAAATTATTCAATGAGTTTTATCTACTGGCATGTGGAACACGGCAAACAATAGTGGCTTCTCTTGTTTAAGTACAGAGCAAGAAAACTTTACATTTATTGAATAACTAACTTAACTCTATGTCTTGAAATTAATTTTATTTATTATTTTATTTTAAATTGCTTCTTTGATACAAGGATAAATCTAGCTACTGACAGTTTCTGTTTAATCAAGTTCTATTTAACTTTTTTCCAGTGTAATCTGCATTCAATATTTATGATTCTGTCTTGTTTTCAGTTACCATAGTCTATGCTGTGCTCTTTTCCGTATTTTCACTTTGCCAACCTCAATCAATAAATTCATAGAAATACTGCAAAATAATTCTATAGACACTCCGTCACTCAGTGGCTGTTAGAATGAAGAAGGAGTAGGAAAAAAATATTGTAAAATACATTTAGATGCATGACTGAGGTGGATGCAACAACACCTTTAGCTACCAGCCACACCACAACAATATGGCATCGGAAAAGTCAGTCTCTCTTCGGTTGTACATTCTTCTCAAACAATTGGAAATGCAAAACGACAGTGGCAACTGTCAGATATTAACCATCGGTGGGGAGGGGTTTAAAAATATGAAAGGAACTTTTCCGGCTACTGAAATATGCAAATTCAAAAGTTTTTAGGCCAAATCAAGCGAGCAAAGGGACCGAGTAGCACTATTCAACTGACAGACAGGTGTCATTTCGATGTCTGTAGCCATGATTTTTGATTATTGTGTTTGTATTTATATCAGGATAGACTTTACTTGTGGTCGAGCAGCAACGAGAAGTGCGAAAATAACCTAGGAAAAATAAGCAAAGGACACTTACATCCAACGGGAAGATATAGTAAGGGGCGAAAATTGTATAAAAAACTTTTACATCTCTTCCCTCTTATTTTTTGGTACTATAGGAAAAGTTTTTATATTCGAGTACCAACTTTGAACATAATATTACCGAAATTGATAGTAATTTAAATTTGTAAAGGAAAGAGTATTACTTTTATTCGAAAAAGAAGATTGAAACTTTTGGTCGTAAGCTAATTGAATGGGTGTTCTTGTGAGGCAATTTAAGGAGATTTAATGCCTTAAAAGACCAGTAAATTATTACAAAAAATTAAACAAATTTATGTTGCAATTAAAAAAAATTACATTTAATAAACTGTGCACTCAAAATATGTTTAATCTTCACTTAATTAAAATTAATCCCGAATTTTAGCCCACTTTTATATTTTTATTAATTATTCTGTACTCTCCACAATTTTGTGTACTTTGCTCTTGCTTTCATCAGCTTTTCTTCAACTTTTGAATGGCAGAAACAGGCAAAGTAATATCTTATGCATAGAATGGAGAAAAATCTCTGCATTGCCTCTGCAATTGTCTCTATCGGGGAAAACTCCTTCGCCAACCCGTTCCGCAAAAGAAAAGCCCGCTTTTCGTTTTGCTGTTGCTTGTTGGCGTTGCCAAAACAAGTGAAGCGCATTAAAATGCAAATTTTTGCCTTTTTTTGTTTGTTGTTGCTTTCTGCTTTCTGTTGTGATTTGTGTGGATTGCTGTCTGCCGTTTTCACAGTTTAGTTGTGGGCGTGGCCGGGATATTGGGTGGTGGTGTGCGGTGGAAAAAGGGGAGGCCGACTGCCGACTGCTGCAACCTTAAAAAAAAAAAAATCGGATTTTTCCGCCATGCATAATCAGTTTGAATTTTTATTTATTTATTTTTCGCGCTTTTCATTTGCCATTCCCTGCGCTGTCTTATTTTCTTTCTCATTGTTTCTTGTTTCATTTTGTTTGTGATTTCGCTTTGTGGGATTCCCATTTTATTTTTCTGCTTCTGCTTCTGCTTTTGCCGCTGCTTTTGCTTTTTTTTCTGCGCTGTTGTGTTGGCAGCACATAAAGTAATTTATTTCACTTGAACACATTTTCGTTTCCGTTTGTTGTTTTTTGCCAGCGACTTAACAGCCGAAGAGATTCAAATAAAAAGTATAAAAAACGAAAAAAACTAACAAACGATATTTGACTGCGTGAAAGCATTTTGTCGTTGCATTTGTATTTTTTTTTTAGCATATTCTTGTTTTGTGTTTCATGTTCATTGAGTTATACATTTTTAAGCATTCATTTCGGATTTTTGGGCCTTTTGTATTGTGCATTTTGAACCGCAACAACTAGCATTCCATTTTATGGAATTTAAAAACGGATTTCTGCTGGGAAGTAGTCATGTGTGAGATTTGTTTGTTGGCTAAAAATTGTTTTACTAATCTAATCGCATCGCTGGTCAGTGAACAACAACCCACTGTGGAAAATTCTATCGGACTCCAAAGTTCGAAAGAAGAATGGTCTAGTCATCACTTAGCACCTAATTTATTGATAAACCAATGCCCGATGCCAATCAATTATTTCATTATGGGGCTGCCAGCAGTCGGCAACTATCAATAAATGCCAAACTCAAATAGCCATAAGCCCGAAACTAATCAGCAAACAGCAGCAAGGAAACCAGGCTCTCGGCAAGCAACAAGCACTTGCAACTTGAGGGAACTCCGTCCCAACTTCGGTCTGTGTCTTTCCGTCAGTGTCAACGCCATACGAAGTTTCTCCGAGGCTCTAAAGGGGGATATTTGGGAGTTAGAGATGCCAATATAGGTAACTTTCAGGCTATACTTGTTATATAAAAATGAATATAATTTTAATTTAGCTAAATCTGCGGCTTAACACGTAAAGCAGATAATAAATTGTTAAAAGTATATTTTATTTTATTTCTTTGTACTTCTCCAAAGCATCACTAGCGGAAGAGTACATACCAAGTTTGGCAGTAGATTGAGCCTGGTTTGTTTTGCTTTCTAGCTTCCCAACACCCTTGCCTCTCACTATTCGCTGGGCAAAATAAACTTTCTATAGATCTCTAATGCCATATCGAAGCGAGCATGTGTGTGTGTGCAGGACTCATCTGGCGAAAGTCCTTTCCGCAAAACTTCGAAATGCAAACTGATGCAAAACGTAGAATTTTGTTGTCGGCCTCGCATGTTGTGTGTGGCGTTTGGCAAATTCCCATCTCGCCAGAATGTTGGCAAAATAATTGCGTACGCCTTGCGGTAGTCTTCAGACAAAAACATACATTTTTGGCAAATATTTAAATAAACGTGGGGAAAATAGAATTGACCCAATTACAATTTGGGCTTAACTGATGGCAATTTCGCAATTCGGCTGGCACACAAAATTCGCGACACCTTTGGCTGGAGGCCAACAACGAATAGGAAATTTCTACATTTCCCCAGCTGCACGGAGACAAAAAAGTTTAAAGGGAAAATAGTTTTAAATTTAGGTTTTTTAAAGAAAATAAATTAACATATGATAAGCAAGTAAATTTATCTAATTTGGCTACTATTCTTTAAAGAATTAAACAAAAACTTTATTTTATTTGGAGAGAGACGAAAATTTACTTGATAATAACAAGTTAGTTAACAATTATAGATGACATTTTATAATAAATATTATCTTTTAACCTGAACTAACAATAAACTAATAACAAAACGTTTATTAACTTTAAGCTCCTTCTCCTTTCAGGAATTATTTCCAAATATATTCTCTTTGGCGTGTCTTTTATGGTCATTTAACTTGATATTCCTCAGCGAGAAGGATGGAAGGAGGACTGGGGTG